AAATATTAGAAATATTGACTAGATTTAAGATTTGATGTGCCAAGGTAACATTTTTTGCAGTGCGGCTGTTTCAACGTTGCTAGCGAGCTGAGTTAGCATCACGGGCCCGCAACACTACCTACCACCATGGCTGAAGTTACTCTAAAAGGTTTGCTGATAATATTTATATTTTTCACATCATGCTTGCCGTATAGTAAGTTACAGAAAGCACAGTTCTGCAGTCTTGAGCTACGTCAGTAAAGTCAAGCTATTCCGAGACAGAAAACTATTTCATATGGGTTTAAATGGGATTTTTCCCAGCATTTTGTAAAGCTTCTGAGAGAACACGTTTATGGGCCGAGCATCAGTCATAATGGTCCTGTTCCAATTTACTTCATGCTAACACAGCCGCGAGGAGTGTTTGTATTGTTATTGAGTGTCCTGTGACGTAATGCTGATGGGCTACAACCTTTCAATGTGGAATTTTTAGTTTATCCTGCACCAACTGACCAATCAAACCCCCCACATTACATTACACATCCTCCTCTGTGTAAACTACTCCAGCTCCAATGCAGCTACTGATTGTCTGAGGTGTGCTGGAGCTGGAATACAACAGTAATGAGGACCAGTCCGACACTGTAAAATAAGGGAAGTGAAATCATCTCTCTCTCTCATATTAGTCTATACTGTATATAATATAAATTATATCATATATATATATATATATAATGCTGTTGTCAGAAGAAAACCAAAACCTTGCATATCCATTTTTGTCATTTTTCAGTTTGTGATGTAATTTGAAAATACCTGTTGTTCTTTACATTGTGGGTAAATTTCATGATGAATGGACCAAAAGAAAATGATCCAAAATGACTTGGAAAAAACCTGCTTATATTGACTTACATTAAAAGTAAAGTAGTTTTTTCCTTTTCTGTAAAGTTCCCATTTTGGAGATACGAGGTTTTCTTATAATATATCTTTGCTGTTCAAAAAAAAAAAGTCTCCCCATTTTGGGGATTTTTAGTTTTCTACATAACTTGAGGTAAGCAGCTGCCTTAAAATAGTGTAAAAATGATTGGACCAGGAGAAATGCTCCAAAACTGCTTCAAGTTAAATCTCTTTACATTAACTTACATTAAAAGCTGAGAATGTATTTGTCCTCTTTAGAAGTTCCCTTTTTGGAGATACTATGTTAATTCTGACATGGTTGTAAGAGGAAAACCCATCAGGACAGGTCTTAAAACTGATAAATGAAAACAATATGTAAAAAAAGATGTTTTGTTTGCACTTGCAATCCCAGCGCCACTGGGGAGCACAGGTGACAGGCGGAATTACACCCGAATGATTGCAGGAAAAATCACACAAACAAAAGATTCAAGAAACTGAATAAATGAGCAAACCAAAACATCTCTCAGAGGAGAGACGGGGAGCTGACTATATTTCAGCCTTTACTTTTCTCTCTCTCTCTCTCTCTCTCTCTCTTCCTTTTTTATTTTACTTTTTTTCTTGTCTTAAACCTCTTTCTTTCCCTTTTCTGTTTTCTTTTGTCGTGCTCTGTTTTCTGCTCTTTGTCCCTTCTCTTCTTTCTTTTGTCTTTACACCCACCTGGGCTACCATGCTAGTCACCCCTCTACAAAGGTGTGACGAGGGTGAGCTGTTTTCTCTGAACATAAATGCTGGTACCAACAGGTGCGTCTGGTTGGCACTGGTTACCCCTTGGTATTCTGGGATTTTAAGTCTCCTGGAGTAAAAGTACCTCACCGCCGTCGCCCTCTGCTGGCAGTCGGCAACACAGGCTGACACTTTACAGTTTTAAGTAATTTTATCTAGTGTCTTATTGCTCTGGCAGATCAGTTTGCTTGTTTCAGTAAATAAAATTATATGTCAACATGCAGAAATGTCAAAGATGATTAACCTGAAAATATTCCTTCTTAGTCTATTTTTTTTATAGAGAACGTGTCACATGATTGATTACTCATTAATGTTCTCCTCAGTCCAGAGAAAGCAGGACACCAACAAAGTCCTTTGCTAAACGGGGGTCCACACACCTGGTCAAGCTGACACTGAGTTGAAAACGTCTGTGTTACGCCGCTTATGAGCTTAGAGAAAGAAAACGACCCGACGCCGTACCTAGAACAAACACACCAGCACAGAACAGTTAGTTCACAAGAGACAAAGTTACTCATTGTCAATCAAAAAAAAACAAACGATTTTCACTGTTTCTTTTCAGTGAAGTGAGTAAAAACTCTCCCTCTGCAGGTTTAGTTTATGATGAATCAGCTCTGCTGATGCTTTGTGTGTATTTATCTTAAGCGCTCAGCTTTATGTTCATGTTTAAAAACCAGTTTAGTATAAATACTGATTGGACAGTGAGTGTGTATACGTGCACTCAATAATCTGATCATAATCAGATTTCTGCAGTTGTCTGATTATTCAAACGGCCATGTAAACACGATATTCCGATCTAGAAATCTGATAAAGAGGCTGGATTTTAGCTCAGTAATCAGATTTCTCAGTGCATGTAAACTCTTACTCTGATTTCTATCTGATTTCTCAGTCTGCGTGAGATCAGACAGTGGATGTTGCTAGATACAGCAAAATACTTTCAGAGCGACTCTGAAACCAAAAACAAAATAAAGGATTCTTCATCTTCTAGATGATGTATGTTCATAGTTTCAGTTTGAGTTTTACGTTACGTTTACGTGCGTCTTCTTCTGTGAGTTTATTGGTTGGTTGCAAAGCAGAAATCTGATTACTGTCTGACTCATGTAGACCTGGAGTTTCCCCATTATCTGATTACTCATGTGCATGTAAACATATTGATTGTATTTTGACAAAATCAGATTTTCTGCAGTTATCAGATTATTGAGTGCATGTGAACACACTCAATGTTGAAGCTCTTCTGCTCCAAAGGTGGTTTAAACACCTGAAAGGTTTGAGTACTGATGAGTAAAATCAAAACAAGGGGATAAAATGGGCGTGTCCTTCGGCTTTATTCCCACAATTACACTTCATCAGCTGTTCCTTCAGTTTTAAAATATGGCAAGATCTGGAAAGCATTCTGTGTAATACAGCGGGGCCCAAAAGTACAAGAGTGAAAAAAACTTCTATTTTCATTTTTTCTAATTTAGTACAGTAAGTTTCTTTTGTTACAAATTATATTGTCTGCACCAAAATTTGAGTGAAAAGTAGAATATTTGAAATAATTATATGAATTTCAGAATTTGTTAGTATTTGGTGATTTATCCCTCTTTTGCTTTAATGGCAGCCGAATCCACCTGACAGCCTGAACACGAGCTTCAGCAGAAGACACTTCACACAGTGCAGTGTTTATCTTTAAAAGTTCAAAAACTTTCTGTTGTTTATTTCCAGGTTTAAATGAAAAAATCCCAGATTTTCAATCAGACTCTCAGACTTATGGACCCCTCTGTGTGGTAGAAGCTAATTGTCCCCAAACTTTTGACGTGCTGTGTGTGACCATAAAGCTCTGGTCAGTGAGGGACTCACTCAGTGAAAATGTATCTCCAGTTCAGGGTGATGAAATCCCACGCTAGCCTCCGCCCCTCTACGTTACCGGCGATCTGGACGATGACCGAGGTGGCGTCCTGTTTCCGAATCTTCGTCGGGTCCAGAGTGAACGCAGATACCTGCATTAAAAACAAAACATCCTGCAAGTGTGTCTTTGTACTTCAGTAAACCACATGCAAAATAAACTGTTATCCATCAATCTTTAACGCTTAGAAACCTCAATTATTACTGCTGATAAAAATACCAAACAAGTGGGGAAAACGCAGATTCTAAACTTTCAATTTTCAATACTTCATAACATAACTTAATAATGATTTATGTAATTATATAATAACATGTAAATCCAGCTCTGAGGTTAAATGATGCTGAAACTGATGTTCCTCCCTGCTGACCTCTCTAAGAGTCCAGTATCTTTGGTGCAGGCCAGTGCTGACATTAGTTTATCCGCCTCACTAGCGGTGCTGGCAGTCTGGAGCATCTCCCAGGCAAAGTCCCACTCTTTAGCGCCACCTGCAGCCACAGCACTGCAGTACACTGTGGACCTGAGGTTTGGGTGAATCCTGATGTAGAGAGCAGAGAAAAAACTGAAACCATAAACCAGGTGGGTGTTTCTAATAAAGTGGCCAGTGAGTGGAAGCACAAAGTAGGTGTTTCTAATAAAGTGACCAGTTAGTGGAAGCAAGGTAGGTGTTTCTAATAAAGTGGCCAATTAGTGGAAGCACAAGGTAGGTGTTTCTAATAAAGTGGCCTGTAGGCATATACAGTATAATATGTGGCTGGAACATCTTTAAACACAGGAAATAAAGCCCAGCAGATGCTGCTCACGGGTTCTGCTCTGGATTTTGCATCCACTGTGTGAACCATTCTGCAGTGAGCTTCTGGCAGCCGTCCACTCCGGTACTGCAGGCCACCCTGATAGCGTTCACCTGATTATACCTGCACAGAGTCATAAACACGAGCACATTTTGTGTTTTTTGTTAAACTCTGTAAAGAATAGAAATTGTGCACTAAACTCTGTTCTCTGTGGAGGATGTGTGTTAACTTACTTAGAAAATCAATGTGTGCAAATTTGAACACTTTCGTTTTCTAATTATCCTTTATTTTACTTTTCTCTCTCAGCGTTTGTTTGAGCACGCTGCTTTCTGTCCCCTTTCTGCCCTTTCCTGCCATTTTTTTTTTTATTCCCATTCGTTGAGGTGTTTTTCCCGTTTTCGCCTGTGCTTCCCAGTGGCACAGCGGTAGCTCCTCCGACTGCCAATCAGTACATCGGTGTTTCAAGCCTGGCTCTGAGCCGCCTCAACCCCCAATGTGCACAAACACTGAATTCACACTCCATCACCTCAATAAATTCATTTAAGACCCTTTCTCACGGGTTTTCCTCTCTGCGTTTGGGTCCGCCTCCCTGCCGCCCCGTAACATACACTGGTTAAATCAGAAGGGAGATGTTTAGCCTGACCTAAACAACATCTGATTAGATGATGTTTGATGATCTTTCTCCCAGTACGAGCTGAAAGCTATTAACGATTCATTTAAAGAGTCTGTTTTTCATCACTCAGTCTCTGAGTCTATATTACGTACTGATCTGTGTGTCCGTCGGGTACTTCCGTCCAGTCCGTGGTGATGTTCCTGAAGTGTCCGAAAAGCGGTGTTATTTGCTTCCTGAGATACGCCTGCAATCACAAACACTGTTTATTGTACAGAATCAGTGTTTAATGTCTTTCTGTTCACACATGTTGATTTTTATGAGCAAATGAAATGACACAGTGCGTCATAATTCACTCATAAACATCTTTTGTCACTACTGTAAAAAACTTTCCATCTCCTGGATGGAAACTTTATAGAAGCAGGAACAAGGGCTCTGAACATAACCAGTGGACTTCCAAGCACTTGTGGGCAACGTCTATTGGTTATTCATCATGAAATGTTCAAAAAATGTAAATATCAGCTGGACTTGATCAACAAATTGAGCATGAAGTGCCAAATATTGCTGAAATATTGAGAAAAAAGCCATATTTCACCTGCATGCTGTCATAGACGATTGTTTGGTCAAATATGAGGTAGAAATAGTCCAGGTTGTTTAAGGCTGACTGCCAGGGCAGGTAGGCCGTCTCCTTCGAGAGGAACTTAGTTGTGTTCAAAGCTAAACTGACGGGAATTATCTTGGCCCTGTAAAAAAAAAAGAGAATAAAAATTGAAATTAAATGAAGTTAATTACTGCTGTAGGATATTTTAATCCCTCACCAATCTACCTATCAGACTACTGATTACACTCACACCTTTCCTTATTTCCTTTGTTGGTTAGGTTAGTATTTAAGCCTGGGCTTTAGTTTAGGTTATTGGCCAAGTATCGTCACACTATGTCCATACCGAGCGTTTCTCCTGTGTTCTCGACGGCTTCCCTGTGTACGACCTGTTTTCTGTTTATGGCCTTGATTCTTGCTGTACCCTTTTGTTCTGTGTTGGTTTTCTGGTTTTCTTTCTGCTCTTGGTTTTTGACTGTGATTTAGTACAACCCCTTCGGCATTAAAGATCTGAACTTAAAGGACACTTTTCCTCTTCGCCTCAGTCCATCTTAAATAAGCTTGGGCCCAGAGAAGTTGTGTTTCTGGATCCTGTTTATATATGGTATTTTCTTTTCATGATACAGCTTTAACTTGCATTTGTGGATTGCACGACGAACTGTGTTCACAGAGAGCGATTTATGGAAGTGATGCAGCCCATGCAGTGATTTCCAGTACAGAGTCATGCCTGTTTTTAATGCAGTGCCGCCTGAGGGCCCAAAGATCACAAGCATCCAATACTGACCGTCAACCTTGTCCCTTGCATACAGGGATTTCTCCAGATTCTCTGAATCTTTTGATGATATTATGTACTGTAGATGGTGGGATATCCAAAGTCTTCACAATTTAAAGTTGTTTTTCACAGATTGTTGAACCTCTGCCCATCTCTGCTTCTGAGAGACTCGTCCTCTCTAAAATGCTCTCTTTATATCCAGTTATGTGAGTAAGTCAATGGAACCAGACATTTTCACAAGTAATTTTGGGCCATTTCTTTTGGTCCATTCATCATGAAATTTACACCCAATGTAATTATATATTATACTATATATATAATGTTACTGTTAGTATTGTACTGTGTTTACCTGGCGAGGTTAAAGGCATCATCCACAATTTGGGCCCTGTTAATGACTGGAACAGCCTGTAAAACATGACTTACATATGAAAATATTCAGTAATCTAATATTACAACAAAAATAAAAGAGAAGAATTGACCAGAAGTACAGTCAGAAGTTTAGACTACTTTTCTTTATTTTAATGATTTAGCACTTTTCAGAATAATCACAGTCACATTCATGACAAACAGCTATTTAGACTCCGCCCACCAACAACATACCTGACTGGCTCAGCACACATTATAGAGGACACGCATTCTGCCAGTTAACTTTTAACGAGGTGTTAAGATTCAGCCTTTTCACACTTTACATCTCACTACAGATCTAACTAAAATTTACTTATTAGAACAGGTTAAATTAAATATCTCAAAGATTATAAAAAAAAACCAAAAACATTTGTTGAATCAGGTTCTACCAGTGAATCTATTGCAGAAAATAACATATCGGTCATCATAATTATGATGCTAATCTCTCTTGTGTTCATTAATACACAAAAGCTATATTTTGTTTTTGTATTGAAAACTGTATTAAATATAGCTGTACTGAAGTCAAATATTGTAAACATTTGTTTGTCTTAAACAAAGACAAAATGTAAACAGAGTCATTCAGAGTGGTTTGGAGTGAAACGCTCTGTTCTAGATAAACGTACTGAGTCAGAACTGTTCACAGTGGTGGTGACAGGAACCAGACGTCCACCTCTAAAAGCTCCCTCACAGAAAGTTCCTACATGAAATGGTTATGAATTCACTGCCTGATGACTGAGACACTGTTTTATGATAGTTTTAAGAAACTCCATTCATGGTGGAGGGATGCATGCAGGGCGCTGTGAGGCAAAATAGACTTATTATTTCAGATTTATTATCTGAATAAATCTTATTATTTCACATTTTCCACTATTTTCCATCATCAACATTCCACATAAACTCAGCAGTAAGGGTCCAGCCTGCGCCAACGGCCACCAGCAGAGGGCAACAGCGGCAAGGTACCATAAGTTCAGGGAACTCCAATTCCCAGAAGCCCTCGGGCTGATTAGGCCCAAACTGACACACCTGTGGACTCCTCTACTTAAGGCTGTGACAAACAGCAGCCCTTTGTCACACCTTTGTAGAGGGGTGACCAGTACGGTACTTAGCCCAGGTGGGATTTTTAAACAAAAAGAAAAGGAAAGGAAACACAAAAGAGAGTAAATGCCCCAAAACAACAAGGCTTGAGCTACAAACGGCTCCAAGCCATGCTAAAGGTGTTTGCTCCAGTACGAGCAAACAAGTGAAACAGTCTGCTTTCCCTTCATAATTACAGAGGAAGTGTCTTTTGTTTTCTCATTATCTTTCATTTCATGTTTCTAGTTCAGCCTTTGTTTGAGCTCCCTGCCGTCCTGTAACACTCAGAAGACTCATGTAGGTTCACTGGTGGTTATGATAGTAAATAAAATGTCTATTCATTTTGTAGTCATGGCGACCCCTGGTTCCTATCACAACCACTGTAAAGACACCTGAACCATTTCACACCAAACCAAACAGCTCAAACACTCATTTATGCAGAAATGTTGAAACATCAGTGGAGTTCTAATCTAACCTAATTTATCCCAGTTATCAGTTTTACTAAATTGCTCTATGTTCAAATGTGTCGGCTGGTTTCATGTGAATAATTTTGTACATTTGTTTTCCATCTTATTCCTGTGGAGCTGTTTGAATCGTGAAATGTTCAGTGCAGTGAACTGCAGCCTGCTGTTAATGTTACCTGATGGTTGCTGTTGAGCTGGTTCAGGATGCGCTCCCAGTTCTCCGTGTCGTAGTTCACTCTGTAATATCCTGTCTGGTTGAGATTCAGCAGCACCCAGTCCTCCCCCACCGTCCTCATCTCACTGTGGAACGCTGAGGACACAACACAGTAACACCACCATCACAAACAATCCGACTCACACTGATTTAACAATATTAATAATAATTAAATTTAATAATAATTATTAATTAATACAAATAATGATAAAACTCTAAAATAAAATAATAGCAATAAAATAATCACTGTCCAAAAAAGTGTGTATTTTTATTTTTACTTCTATTTTTCTACATCATTTGAACATGGCAACTTCCTTTTATCTTGATGAATGGACCAATAGGAATGCTACAAAATGACATGAAAGAAAATCTCTTTACGTTACTTTATAGTACAAGTAAACCATGTTCTATATAGATCCATAAACGGTTCTATATAGATCCATATACAACACTTTCATGATGTAAAGAACCCTTTAATCATCCAAATGCTTCTTTGAGTGCTCATGGTTCTAAATAGAACCATTTTCTTTACTAATCGACCCTTAAAGAATCATCTTTTTTAAGAATGTAGGTGTCCCTAAACTTTTGACTGGCAGTGTTAAGTTCTATTTATTTGTGTTTGTGTTTATTGTATTAATTATTTTGTTTCATTAGCATAGTGATTTAACTGTCATTAGCAGAGGGCTGTGCTTATTCTCACCGCTCTTCTCCAGGAGCCACACCGGCGTCTGCTCCACCCCCGACTTCATCCAGTTAACGGGGACGATCCACTCATAACTGCAGACACAGAGAGACACGAGGAGTTAAACCCCTCAGAAACAGCGTCCGGGAAACAAACCATCACAGAGACGTCAGACCCACTCAAACTGAGACGGAGTGTCCACTACAGACTCAGGGTCCAGCAGGAAGTGTTTCTGAGACAGCTGCCCAGTAGCAGTGTTGATGGTGACCACTGGGAAACCCATCTGAAGAACCCAGCGGTCCATGATTTCTCCAACCGTCGTGGGGAGAAGAACCGTTCCATTAGTGTCGACTGCCTGAAAGTAACCACAGAGCATTGAGTTAACATGAGAGTTTGGGGAAAAAATCAAATACACCCCCCTCCTTTACTCTAACAGTCGATCAGCCAAGACGGGTTGGGTGTCTGAAGTTTGCTTCTTTAGTTTTGGGAGCTACGAGGCTAACCCTGATAGATATACCAGCATCTCTGGTCACCAGTAAAACCAGTATATCGCTGTTGTTGGAACAAAACCTCATGGAGAAGGAAAAAACATACTTTACTTTCAATGTGAGTCAATGGAACCAGACTTTTCTCCAAGTCATTTTGGGCCGTTTGTTTTGGACCATTCATCATGAAATTCACTCACAACATAAAGGACAACAGGTATTTTAAAATTATATTAAAAACTGAAAAATGGAAATACGAGGTTTTCTTCCTACAGCAGCGATGTGTGTTTTGGATGCTGTTAAGCTGGTCACCAGCACAATCGCATGTCGTCATCGCTGTTGTGACCTTATATCTCAGAAAACTTAACTTTACAGGAGATGAAAAACATTAGTAACTTGCAATGAAGGTTAATAAAACAAGTTTTTTTGCAAGTAATTTTAGATGATTTCCGTTGTTCCATTCATTATGAAATCTCAGCACAATGTAAATGGTAGCTGAAGTTTTCAAATTATGCAAAAAAGTTACAAATGATAAAAATGGAGATATCATCATTGTTGCACTGAGTGTATGCTGTGTGATGGATGTTGGTATGCTGGTCAACCAGCACAGACCAGCTTAGCATGTAATTCATGCTGTTTCTCAGCCAGAGATGGAGCTTACAAGTAATACAAGCTTATACAGCACCACTTAGCATGGTGCTAACTGCATACCTGAATCATTACTTGTCTCAAAAGACACATTAGTAAACTTGTTTTATGTGGTTTCTGACTCTGTACAACTTACTGTTGTCTATAAACGTGGACTAAATTATATTAGCATAGCTAAACACAGCAGCACCATCTTAATGCTGCAGTGTGTAAGATTTAGTGGCAGCTAGTGGTGAGGTTGCAAACTGCAAACAACTGAATCCCCCTCCCTCACCCCTCCCTTTCCAAGCGTGTAGTAGAACCTACAGTGGCCGTCAGGTTTTCTGCCATCGTCTGTCTTTTGCTTCTTCATGTTTTCTCTTCTTTGATGGTGAGGATTCACCCTCCTTCACTTTTTCTTGTGCTAAATAATAAGTCTGGTCCTCCATTTGTTCAAATTTTTTCTCAAAGCTCTCACAGCACAAAATGGTCAGCAACACCGGAGGCCACCACTGATTCTTCTTCTTTTCTACATCTTCCAACCGGAGCTACAGCGCCACCAAATTCCAGCTGCCACTTCAGCGTAAAAGCGTGACAGGCACCCTCTAGAGGCAGAAACATGGCGGCGGCAGCCTCTGTTGGAAGAGGAGCCGCTCACTATGTAGATATGAAGGGCTCATTCTAAGATAACGAAAACACGATTCATAGTTACACCTGATTATACACTGATGAAGACATGGTTTTGTTTACTATATATTTCTGCCAATAGATCCTCCTAAATCTTATACACTGCACCTTTAAAGCCTGAATTGTCTGTACTTTTGTCCAGTAGCTGGTGATGTATAAAAGGTATGAGATTCAATTAGTTTGTTAGCTACATTAGCCTTGTAGCTCCAGTGCTAAAAATAAAGAAGCAAACTTCAGATTACATTTTTTTGCAAAACAATCGCTTTAACTGATCACAAGAGGGCAGCACTGCTATACTGAGTCAAATCAACTGTGTTGCTCTTCCTCACAATATGATCGACTCTCTTGTACCAGAGGATTTTTCTGGGCCATGGGTGCTCAGTCCTGGGCCTGTAGATCTACCACCCTGGAGAGTTCAGAAACAACACACCTGGCACTAATATTCAGATGCTCCTGAAGGCCTTCAATACCTGAATCAGGTACGTTTGATTTAGAAGGTGTAACTAAGCAGTGCAGTGTGGCAGATCACCAGGACCAGGATTGGGCACCACTGATCTGGGCTGAAATATTAAATAATTAAATATAAATAAATAAATAATTAAATATAAATCTGTCTTACTCTTTGGAGATGATTCCACAGATCTGAGCCCACCGTGTTGTTATAAGCAAACATGTTCAGGTAGGTCTGTAAAATAAGCATAATGCAAATATACATTCACATATGATACAATACATACTTGCATATCGCTGCTGTCCATTTTTGTCGTTCTAGAGTTTTTGACATGTTTTGAAAGTACCTGTTGCTCTTTACATTGTGTGTAAATTTCATGATGAATGGTCCAAAAGAAATGGCCCAAAATGAATTGGGGGAAAAAAATTCTGGTTCCATTGACTTACATTAAAAGTAAAGCATGTTTTTTTTCTTCTCCTGTAAAGTTACCATTTTGGAGATACGAAGTTTTGTTCTGACAACAGCGATATACAAATGAATATAATTAATATGCATAAGAGGTAACACATTTGTGTTATTTCCACAGGCTGGAAAGAGTTGGAACCTTGACTAAGTGTGATTTACCTGTCTCGGGTGTTTTGGATGTAAAATTAGAAGATCTATGTAAATCGGTGAGGTTCATGAGTAAGAGATCCCTCACCTTCAGGCCCTGAAGGAAGACTGGCTCTGTTAGGAAGTCTAAGAGCATCCTCAGCACTGACGCCCCCTACAGACAGACAGAGTACAACACAGTGTTCACTTGAAGGGAAATTCCACTAAAATTTCAAAATTCCTACATAATCAGATGGTTAAGATGTAAACAGAGTGGTTCAGAGTGGTTTGGTGTGAAACGCTCTGTTCTGGAGAAACTTACCGAGTCAGAATTGTTCACAGTGGTGGTGATAGGAACCAGACGTCCACTTCTAAAAGCTCCCTCACAGAAAGTTATTTTCCACTATTTTCCCATCATCAACATTCCATATAAACTCAGAAGACTCGTGTAGGTTCACTGGTGGTTCTGGATAGTAAATAAAATGTCTATATTTGTGTTGTAGTCATGGCGACCCCTGGTTCCTATCACCACCACTGTAAAGACATCTGAACCATTTCACACCAAACCACTCTGAATCTCTCTGATTACACCTCAAACTGTTAATTGTGCAGGAATATCTTTCAAAAATTGGTGGAAGTAAATCTAAGAAAATAGTTAAGGAAATTAGTATTTTACTATTAAAGATATGACTTTTTTTCTTTGTTAGTTCATGTGCAAGTTTTCATATTGTTGTGTTCTGCTGGTGGCTAGCGCTGGCACTGCGAGGTGTGGCTAGACTAGACGGAGCCATAAAACTGTAATAATATCAGGTTCGGCTCTGCTATGTGATGTTGGCCTGTGGTCACTCTCTTATTCAGAATCTGACCAAACCAGCTGCAGGTCAAATGCTACTTTAAAGAAGTTATCTAATGTGTTTATTGTCTGTTTCTGTAGGTGCTAAAGTAGAAACAATTAGCTGCAGAGTAAAGCGAGTTATTACCAGTGCTCAGTAGGTGACACAGTTATTAAGAAATGTATTTATTTGTGATAGAATGGGTAGAACGCTTCTCAACCAATCAGACTGCGCTGTCGGAACTAACTGTTGTATAATAACCAACAATATAAAGTCTCCCCTCCTTCATGAAGAGAAAACACTCAGCTAGCTCAGACAGCCTCCCTGATATTGTTTCACTCACAAAAATGACGCAGTACAAAAGAAAAACCTTAACAAGCCAAAAAATCTCAAAAATGAACGACAGCTCTTGCGTTTTTAATTAATAAATCTTAATAAATTTGTTTTAAATTTAATTCAATAAATTTATTTTAATAATATTTTGGGGGGAATTTAACAGGACAGCGTTGCTGCTTTCTAGAACATCACATTCTTAAAACAAAAATGTCTTGATTTCTTCTTTCACAGTGAAGAGCTTTAAAGCTGTACATGCTGATTCATCTCATACATACGAATTTAGTCTCCTTATATATAAAAAAATAATTTAATAAAGCAGTTTAGAATCTCGTGTGGCTTTTTTAACATTCAGCGCCCCATTTTGAGAAATACTGTAGAACTTTCTTGAGAATAATCTTATTAAGAATTACAGTGTTGGTTTGGGCAAAGTTATTCTAGCATTGAGCTTGAAGATTCTCCAAATTTTCTCATTTCGAGAACTTTTGTACCAAATAAGTGTTTAGGAAAATGCTCACAACAAGGTTCATATGCTAAGTTTTTGCTTATTTTAGATTATGATGACATCAGATCAAAAGGTGTTACTTAACGTTAGCCACAACGCCTTCAACCAACCAGATATACTGATTTTAAGATTACAAGATCATTTTCAGTTTTTAAGAAATTTTATTAAGCATGTTTTTCTCACCATGTTTCGCCTTTTCTCACACAGATCTTTTGCTGGTTTGTTCATAAATATGTTCAGTAATATGAGACTTTGGTAAATGTATATTACTGTGTTTATGCTGTATTGATTGCTGGCAAATTGTCTTAATTGAAACCTGTTTGTTTTAATGAAACACTCTCATATCTAGTCAATATACTTTCTCTCATTATGAGATTGTTAAATATTATACATATATTCAACCTATTTCTAGACAGTTTTTACACATTTTAAGTGAGTGATTTGGCAAAAATATTGTATCATGCTAACAAAGACGTTTTCACAATACATTTTACAGTATATTGACACAGACACAAAGCACAGGTAGAGCCACTTTAAAAAACAGCCTTAAAAAACCTGAAGTTATTTTTATTCAACATTTAACATCCTGTACTTCTCTAAATCACATTATACATAATCTCTGTGATTAAGCACACAGTTCAGTGCTCCTTAAATACTGCCAATATCCACAATATGCTCAGAAAAGCTTATTGTCTATCGCAATAACTAATTGATCATAACAAACTATCATCTTGTTGCCCATCTCTGATTGATAGGACACTTTCACTAGATTAACTTAAAACACAAACATTGTCTTTTTTATATATTTTAATCTCAGAATGACAAATATTACATATATTAATTAGATTTAAGGTACCTTCGCTTGCCAAGGCATCATTTTTGCAGCGCAGTAAACTGTGAAGCTTAATCTGCTGGCTAAGCTGCTAATAAGAGGCCTCACTGAGGTCAGCAAAGGTCAGACAACCTGACAACTGCACATTATTCATTTACTAGAGAGAAAAGAATCTCTCTACAGACTCTAACTGTGCTGATGCTCCCTCACCTTGCTGTAGGAGATGGTGTCGAACACCTCGCCGATCTGCTCCGGTCTCGTGATGTCCTCCTCTTTAGAGGAGAGGGGGTGGGAGGAGGCCAGAGCGTCCACGGCGAAAGCTTTGTGGACGTCATGCAGAACTATCAGGTCTTTCTGTGGGAGAGAGAAGCAGGTCAGCACAGAAATCAGGTAAATGTTTAAATGAAAGACAGTGACATCTTAAAGGGATGCAGCCAAAAAAAACGAATTCACCCAGAATTGCCCTTTTACCCCAAATGTAGTCAAGCAGTCAAGACAGTGTTTAGTGTCCAAAGTTTGCATCTGTATTTTAAGCACTCAAGCTATAAAATAAACAACAAGTAGTGGATCTTTTACCCCACCAGTTAGCATCATGGCAACTGCAACATGCTCATCTAAAACCGGATCAAGTTGTGTAGTAATTTTGGGAAAACTGTGGCTTGTACAGGACCTTGACCCATCATTGTCCAACAAACATCTTGCTATTATATTTTAGAGATATTAAGGTCATGCAAAGGAGCAAAAGAATGTCTTTTAGCTGTTAATGTGACAGCAGGTACTGACTTTACTGTTTTACCAACATGGACAATGTTCACACATTACTGGAAAGTTGTAGCATTAACAGAGAGAGAGAGAGAGAGAGAGAGAGAGGGGTGTGTGTGTGTGTGTGTGTGTGTGTGTGTGTGTGTGTGTGTGTTTGTCTAGTACTCACCAGATTCCAGGTGGGTTCAGCGTGGTCTGCGGCGAGGTAAGACACGTAGGTAGCAAAACCTTCATTCAGCCAAACCTCATTCCACCATTTCTGAGTCACAAGGTTTCCAAACCACTGAACACAAAACAGTCACACATCAGACAGTCAGACCAGAGGCAGCCACACCAACAATAGTCACTCCAGAGATAGACACTCCAGAGACAGTCAAACCAGCCACACCAGAGACAGTCAAACCAGTCGCTCCAGAGACAGACACACCAGAGATAGCCACACCAGAGACAGTCACCAAACCAGGAACAGTCAAACTAGCCACACCAGAGACAGTCAAACCAGTCACTCCAGAGACAGTCAAACTAGCCACACCAGAGACAGTCACCAAACCAGGAACAGTCAAACTAGCCACACCAGAGACAGTCACCAAACCAGGAACAGTCAAACTAGCCACACCAGAGACAGTCAAACCAGTCACTCCAGAGACAGACACACCAGAGATAGCCACACCAGAGACAGTCACCAAACCAGGAACAGTCGAACCAGTCAAATCATAGAGCCAAAAAAGAGCCAAACCAGGCAGTTACATCAGAGACAGGCAAACCAGAGAGAGCCAAATCAGAGAAAGTCAAAGCAGAGACAGGCACACCAGACTGTGACTCACACTGGAAACCAGAGGCAGTTACACCAGAGAGTAAGATGTGTGTTTAGGAGGATGGGGTTCATGATGAAACATAAGGAGCTGAGAGTACCATGTGAGCCAGCTCGTGGGCAATTATAGTGGCTGTTTTCTCTTTGTTTGCGTTCGAGGAGATGAGTGGATCATAGAAGAGGTTTGTCTCTCTGTAGGTGACCAGCCCCCAGTTCTCCATCGCTCCAAAGTAGAAGTCCGGCAGAGCAATCTGGTCTTCAGAGAGCACATGAGTTTATACTTAAATGGTCTTTCAACTTGTAGTAAAATAATTACTAAAAATTTAATCCTTAAAATGCTAAACAAATAAGCTTAAATGCATATTATTACTACTAGCATGCAACAGTTACAGATCACATTGTTGATCTTGCAGTAAAAAGCAGCAGATGCTCTCAGTCTGGTTTTAAAGCTCTGTGCTTTATGAATGTACCTGATTTAGAGAGAGGGTAGGGAACCTTATAGTAATCCTCAAAGAACTGGAGGACGGGTCCAGTGAGGTTGAGGGCGTAGGCGCAGTGTCCATCAGCGACTGCTTTCCTACGAGCCCAAATCCGAATCTGCACAGCAACCACTTGATTGAATGTATGGTTTTCTTAATATCTATTAAAGACACTGTGATGTAAAATGTATGCTTAAAATCTTCAAATTGATTTAAAATGTGGAAAAGTTTTCCACAAAACTTTTAAACATAAAAAAAAAAATTATCTAAAGCAAGTAGTGTTCAGCGGCTCTCTGATCATATGTGCTTCTTCAAAAATCTCAAGTGACTCCTCGTGAAGGTACTTCAGAGAGAAACACCAAGAATGTATAAAACTGTAACAAGGCAAATGGAGGGTTCGCTGTGTAATTCCACAAGTGTTGTTTCACAGTTTTAATTACTTTTATTCTAAAATGTACAAAATAGTAAAAATAGGTAAAACCCTTCATCAGCAAGTGTATCCAAACTTTTGACTGATACTGTCAATTAAAAACATAATCAGCTCATACCAAAGTGCTTCCTGTTGACTGCACATTCACGTAGTCGCTGACAACCAGAGCGAGGAGGTATGATGACATTCTCTGTGTTGGTTCAAACCTGGTGATGGTGACAGCAGTGCCATCAACTGTGGTGTTCACTGTTTCTAAAGACAAACAGCAGCAAACACAGTGCAGATTAAATTGTACAATGCAGTTCATAACAGTGATAACTATCCATTTAGACAATAAAGTACTTCTTTAAGTCGATAAAATGGTGTCTTTTGTGTGACTGTCACTGGTGTAACTGTCTCTGATGTGATTGTATCTAGTGTGACTGTTCCTGGAGAAACTGTCTCTGATGTGTCTGTATTTAGTGTGACTGTCTCTGGTGTGACTGTCTCTGATGTGACTGTATCCAGGGTGACTGTCTCTGGTGTAGCTGTCTCTGATGTGACTGTATCCAGGGTGACTGTCTCTGGTGCAACTGTCTCTGATGTGTCTGTATCTAGTGTGACTGTTTCTGATGTGACTGTATCTAGTGTAGCTGTCTCTGATGTGACTGTATCCAGGGTGACTGTCTCTGGTGCAACTGTCTCTGATGTGACTGTATCCAGGGTGACTGTCTCTGGTGTAACTGTCTCTGATGTGATTGTCTCTGGTTAAACTGTCTCTGATGTGTCTGTATCCAGGGTGACTGTCTCTGATGTGACTGTATCTAGTGTAACTGTCTCTGGTGCAACTGTCTCTGATGTGACTGTATCCAGGGTGACTGTCTCTGATGTGATTGTATCTAGTGTGACTGTCTCTGGTGCAACTGTCTCTGATGTGACTATATCCAGGGTGACTGTCTCTGGTGTAACTGTCTCTGATGTGATTGTATCTAGTGTGACTGTCTCTGGTGAAACTGTCTCTGATGTGACTGTATCCAGGGTGACTGTCTCTGGTGTAACTGTCTCTGATGTGATTGTATCTAGTGTGACTGTCTCTGGTGAAACTGTCTCTGATGTGTCTGTATATAGTGTGACTGTCTCTGGTGTAACTGTCTCTGATGTGATTGTATCTAGTGTGAGTGTCTCTGGTGAAACTGTCTCTGTCTGTATTTAGTGTAACTGTCTCTGATGCAACTGTATCCAGGGTGACTGTCTCTGGTGTAACTGTTTCTGATGTGACTGTATCCAGGGTGACTGTCTCTGGTGTAACTGTTTCTGATGTGACTGTATCCAGGGTGACTGTCTCTGGTGAAACTGTCTCTGATGTGTCTGTATCTAGTGTGACTGTTTCTGATGTGACTGTATCTAGTGTAACTGTCTCTGGTGTAGCTGTCTCTGATGTGACTGTATCCAGGGTGACTGTCTCTGGTGCAACTGTCTCTGATGTGACTGTATCCAGGGTGACCTGTCTCTGGTGTAACTGTCTCTGATGTGATTGTCTCTGGTTAAACTGTCTCTGATGTGTCTGTATCCAGGGTGACTGTCTCTGATGTGACTGTATCTAGTGTAACTGTCTCTGGTGTAGCTGTCTCTGATGTGACTGTATCCAGGGTGACTGTCTCTGATGTGATTGTATCTAGTGTGACTGTCTCTGGTGAAACTGTCTCTGATGTGACTGTATCCAGGGTGACTGTCTCTGGTGCAACTGTCTCTGATGTGACTGTATCCAGGGTGACTGTCTCTGGTGTAACTGTTTCTGATGTGACTGTATCCAGGGTGACTGTCTCTGGTGAAACTGTCTCTGATGTGTCTGTATCTAGTGTGACTGTTTCTGATGTGACTGTATCTAGTGTAACTGTATCCAGGGTGACTGTCTCTGGTGTAGCTGTCTCTGATGTGACTGTATCCAGGGTGACTGTCTCTGGTGCAACTGTCTCTGATGTGTCTGTATCTAGTGTGACTGTTTCTGATGTGACTGTATCTAGTGTAGCTGTCTCTGATGTGACTGTATCCAGGGTGACTGTCTCTGGTGCAACTGTCTCTGATGTGACTGTATCCAGGGTGACTGTCTCTGGTGTAACTGTCTCTGATGTGATTGTCTCTGGTTAAACTGTCTCTGATGTGTCTGTATCCAGGGTGACTGTCTCTGATGTGACTGTATCTAGTGTAACTGTCTCTGGTGCAACTGTCTCTGATGTGACTGTATCCAGGGTGACTGTCTCTGATGTGATTGTATCTAGTGTGACTGTCTCTGGTGCAACTGTCTCTGATGTGACTATATCCAGGGTGACTGTCTCTGGTGTAACTGTCTCTGATGTGATTGTATCTAGTGTGACTGTCTCTGGTGAAACTGTCTCTGATGTGACTGTATCCAGGGTGACTGTCTCTGGTGTAACTGTCTCTGATGTGATTGTATCTAGTGTGACTGTCTCTGGTGAAACTGTCTCTGATGTGTCTGTATATAGTGTGACTGTCTCTGGTGTAACTGTCTCTGATGTGATTGTATCTAGTGTGAGTGTCTCTGGTGAAACTGTCTCTGTCTGTATTTAGTGTAACTGTCTCTGATGCAACTGTATCCAGGGTGACTGTCTCTGGTGTAACTGTTTCTGATGTGACTGTATCCAGGGTGACTGTCTCTGGTGTAACTGTTTCTGATGTGACTGTATCCAGGGTGACTGTCTCTGGTGAAACTGTCTCTGATGTGTCTGTATCTAGTGTGACTGTTTCTGATGTGACTGTATCTAGTGTAACTGTCTCTGGTGTAGCTGTCTCTGATGTGACTGTATCCAGGGTGACTGTCTCTGGTGCAACTGTCTCTGATGTGACTGTATCCAGGGTGACCTGTCTCTGGTGTAACTGTCTCTGATGTGATTGTCTCTGGTTAAACTGTCTCTGATGTGTCTGTATCCAGGGTGACTGTCTCTGATGTGACTGTATCTAGTGTAACTGTCTCTGGTGTAGCTGTCTCTGATGTGACTGTATCCAGGGTGACTGTCTCTGATGTGATTGTATCTAGTGTGACTGTCTCTGGTGAAACTGTCTCTGATGTGACTGTATCCAGGGTGACTGTCTCTGGTGCAACTGTCTCTGATGTGACTGTATCCAGGGTGACTGTCTCTGGTGTAACTGTTTCTGATGTGACTGTATCCAGGGTGACTGTCTCTGGTGAAACTGTCTCTGATGTGTCTGTATCTAGTGTGACTGTTTCTGATGTGACTGTATCTAGTGTAACTGTCTCTGGTGTAGCTGTCTCTGATGTGACTGTATCCAGGGTGACTGTCTCTGGTGCAACTGTCTCTGATGTGACTGTATCCAGGGTGACTGTCTCTGGTGTAACTGTCTCTGATTGTCTCTGGTTAAACTGTCTCTGATGTGTCTGTATCCAGGGTGACTGTCTCTGATGTGACTGTATCTAGTGTAACTGTCTCTGGTGTAGCTGTCTCTGATGTGTCTGTATCCAGGGTGACTGTCTCTGATGTGACTGTATCTAGTGTAACTATCTCTGGTTAAACTGTCTCTGATGTGACTGTGTCCAGGGTGACTGTCTCTGATGTGATTGTATCTAGTGTGACTGTCTCTGGTGCAACTGTCTCTGATGTGATTGTATCCAGGGTGACTGTCTCTGATGTGACTGTATCCAGGGTGACTGTCTCTGGTGTAACTGTCTCTGATGTGATTGTATCTAGTGTGACTGTCTCTGGTGAAACTGTCTCTGATGTGTCTGTATCTAGTGTGACTGTCTCTGGTGCAACTGTCTCTGATGTGACTATATCCAGGGTGACTGTCTCTGGTGTAACTGTCTCTGATGTGATTGTATCTAGTGTGACTGTCTCTGGTGAAACTGTCTCTGATGTGTCTGTATCTAGTGTGACTGTCTCTGGTGCAACTGTCTCTGATGTGACTATATCCAGGGTGACTGTCCCTGGTGTAACTGTCTCTGATGTGATTATATCTAGTGTGACTGTCTCTGGTGAAACTGTCTCTGATGTGACTATATCCAGGGTGACTGTCTCTGGTGTAATTGTCTCTGATGTGATTGTCTCTGGTTAAACTGTCTCTGATGTGTCTGTATCCAGGGTGACTGTCTCTGATGTGACTGTATCTAGTGTAACTGTCTCTGGTGTAGCTGTCTCTGATGTGACTGTATCTAGTGTAACTGTCTCTGGTGTAGCTGTCTCTGATGTGACTGTATCCAGGGTGACTGTCTCTGATGTGATTGTATCTAGTGTGACTGTCTCTGGTGCAACTGTCTCTGATGTGACTATATCCAGGGTGTCTGTCTCTGGTGTAACTGTCTCTGATGTGATTGTATCTAGTGTGACTGTCTCTGGTGAAACTGTCTCTGATGTGTCTGTATCTAGTGTGACTGTCTCTGGTGTAACTGTCTCTGATGTGATTGTATCTAGTGTGACTGTCTCTGGTGAAACTGTCTCTGTCTGTATTTAGTTTTTAACTGTCTCTGATGCAACTGTATCCAGGGTGACTGTTCTCTGATGTAACTGTATCTAGTGTGACTATTCCTGGTGTAACTGTCTGTGATGTGACTGTATCTAGTTATTTTATTGTCTCTGATTTCAGTGTGTCTGACTGTCTCTGGTGTGACTGTGCCTGTAAATATTCTTGTCACCGCTGACCGATTTCTATCCCGTTGGAGAGAGCAACCATTCCTCGCTCATGCAGGACAGTGATGTGGAAGACAGCCTTCATGGCAGGTTCATCGAAGCAAGGGAAGGTTTTACGGGCATGAGTTGGGTGCATTTGACTGGTGGCTACAACCCTGTTAGAGATGAAAACAGATTTGTTCTTTCAGTTATTAACTTCAGAAACTCCATGAGCTGTATACAGGCCCAGACCTCTTGTTTCTAACAGTTACTACAAAGTTTTATGTAATTGGAGGAATCCCCAGCTAAATTAACTGCCAGAATTCACCCTTTAATAACTCCTGCTTTACACCTCCAAGTAAAGGTTACACAAGGCCATGGAAACAGCGCTTACGCAAACATGTGAATTACTCTTGTGGCCTTGAGTTTGGCAGTTCCTGTTTCTGGCATCAGTCCGAGCAGTCACTGATTGTATGATATATCCCATTCAGCAGTCAGTAACATAAACCACACAGACTATATAATCCACAATCACACTGCTTCTTAAAAGTTTGGGGAAACTTCTTAACCCCTTTCTGCAGGCACCCTTATGTTCATTCCGCTGATCCATCAGATATTTTTATTAATATTATCAAATAAAATAGTTTAAGTCATAATGTGATTGAAATATATATTTTAATCTAATTTAATTAAATTAAAACTAAAAAAATCTCATTACATTTTATGGCTACTGTGAAAAGAAGTTATTTGATTTTCCAATGAAGTAATAAAGTTTTTGCTTTACTTATTTATTTTTTTAATATTTTAACTATTGTTAAAAGCTCATATTGAAACCTTTTTTGCCCAAAGTTGGTTTAAACACCTGAAGTGTTGGTTTGAGTGCTGACATCAGAACAATGGGATCACATGGACGTTTCCTTTGGCTTTATTCCGCAGACAGAATTTGTTCCTGCAGAGTTTCAGTATTTTACAAAAGAAAACGGCGCTAAACAACTTTCTGTTGACATGTTGAGTTCTTGCAAACTGGTAACTGAAGCATACTTCTTTGTATTGAATGGTATCCAAAATGGTTCTTGGCCAGGTTCTACAGGGGCTAGACCGCCTGCTTAAGACCCGTGATGTAGCGTGCCTCTGACTTTGAGATACAGCTCTGATACACTCTTTAAAAAGATGGTTCTTCAAAGGTTCTTTAGGAAGGACAATGCTATATTGAATCATGAACACTCAAAGAACCATTTGCATGCTTAAAGGTTCTCTGCATGGTGAAATGTTTCTTCAGATTGATGAATGTTTTGTATATGGTTCTATCTTCTATTGTTATGATGTCAAGCTTGTATACAATAGAAGAACCTTTTTTGATGCTGTATAGAAACTTTTTAAAAAACCCCATTTCCAAAAACGTTGGGATGCTGTTGGGACAATGTAAATAAAAACAAAATGCAATGATGTGCAAATCATTTAAACCCCATATTTCTTTGAAAATAGTACAAAGACAACAAATCGAGAAATGATAAGGGCCCGTGATCTTTGGGCCCTTAGGCAGCACTGCATTAAAAACAGACATGATTCTCTAGTGGAAATCACTGCATGGGCTCAGAAACACTTCTGAAAATCATTGTCTGTGAAAACAGTTCATCACTGCATCCACAAATGCAAGTTAAAACTCTAAAACACAAAGAAGAAACTACATAAACAGATTCCAGAAATGCTGCCACCTTCTCTGGGCCTGAGCTCATTTAAGATGGACTGAGGCAAAGTGGAAAACCATCCTGTGGTGCAATGAATGAAAATTTGAAATTCTTTTTGGAAATCATGGACACTGTGTCCTCTGGGCTAAAGACCACTCAGCTTGTTATTAGCACATGGTTCAAAAGCCAGTATTTATGATGGTATAGGGGGGCATTAGTGCACATGGCATGGGTGTCTTGCACATCTGTGAAGGCACCATTAATGCTGAACAATAAATGTAAGTTTTGGAAACATATGCTGCCATCCAGACAACGCCTTTTTCAGGAAAGGCCTTGATTATTTCAGCAAGACAATGTCAAACCACATTCTGCACCAATTACAAGAGTATTGGTCTATAGTAAAAGAGTCCATGTGTTAAACTGGCCTGCCTGCAGTCCAGGCCTGTCACCTATTGAAAACATTTTGGCACATTATGAAATGAAAAAATACGATAAAGGAGACCCTGAACTGTTGAGCAGCTGAAATCCTAGTAAAAATGGGGAAACATTTCACTTTCTAAACTACAGCAGTGTCTCCTCAGTTCCCAAACACTTACAGAGTTTTGTTAAAAGAAGAGGTGATGAAACACAGTGGTAAACAGGCCCCCGTCCCAACTTTTTTGGAACATGTTGTTGGCATCAAATTCAAAATGGGCACATTTTCCAAAAAACAATAACATTCTCAGTTTCAACGTTTAATTTGTTGTCTTTGTACTATTTTCATTAAATATATGGTTTACATGATTTGCATTTCATTGCATTCTATTTTTATTTACATTTTGCACAGCGTCCCAACTTTTTTGGAAATAGGGTTGTAGAACACATTCTCCATCATTTTGAAGCACATCCCACCATGCAAAGAACCATTTGATGATTGTCTGATAAAGCCTAAAACGTTTGTGTCATCAATAATTGCATAACGATCACTAATCGAACATAGACACTTAAAAAAAAGTGAGAACTGGGAAGTTTTGCAAAGAAAAGTTACATTTAGATACACAAATGGGACATGATCTGCCTAAATATGCACAAATTTGTATTTCTTAAAAAATTCTAGCCTTTGGATGATGTTAGTAGACACTAATCTTTGTGTAGAACTCCAGAGGAACAATCTTTCAGAACCGATTGCTTAAATTTCATTGTTTTATTGTTTTATTGTTTAATCAAGAAGCCACCATGCACTGTTCTTCAACAATGCAGGTGTCCTGGAAGCTTTTGGTTCTGAATGTAGAGAAAATCTGATTTTGAGGACAGTTATGAGAGTGTCTTGCTGTAAAGATGCATCCATTAAAAGGTTCTTAATAAAACCAAGCCTTTCTTCAAGCAGTTTTTTTGGCACCTCTATTTTGAAGAGTGCAGGTGTAGGACTTACTTTCTCACTCCATCTTCGAGGTACTCGCTCCTGTAGAACCCCGCCAGGTCATCAGTGAGCTCCCCTATGAATTCGGTGAAGAGCTCATAGGATTTTCCTGCTTTTAATTTGTCGTTAAGCTGAATTACGAGGTAGTGAGTGGTCACTTCCATCCAGGTGGACTTTATAGCTGGTGCAGGCGCGTCACTGAGTGCAGTCAGGCGAGCCAGATGTCCACCAGCAGTGGTCAGGTTCAGCTTGTTGGAGTGAATGAGGATCAGATCAGTTTCTTTCACACATCTGAAGACCACGCTGGAGTTTCCGGTGAAGATGTAGAGGCCGCGGTCGTCCTGTTGAAGCCGTGGCCACAAGGTGACGTAGTAGACGTCTGGAAGAAGGTTATCAGGGAGACGGTAGTTTTCCCACAATGCAGCTGGAGTTTCTGCACATGCAAGAAACTGGAAGGTCCAGATTCCAACCAGGAGAGCCACAGAGACCACGGACACCACCGTGCAGACGATGCACATCATGCTGAAATGGCATTTGGCCATGTTCTCCAGAACGTTCACGCAACAAACCAACAGAGGAGAAACCAAAGAGGCGCTGCTGTGGAGTTTTGATGCTCTCCTCCTGAAGAGAGCCCCAGCTCGCGTATTAGTGGCTGTGAGAAAATTCAGGTGATAAATGAGTTCCTGCATTCTGCGAATACTTTATTGCGCTTTATTAGTTCAGTGTCGTGTCTGTCTTGACGTGTTTGCACAGCTTTAAATCTGAGCTGGACAGCGGTGTGAGAACTCAGACCCAAAGATGCAGTCATACACAACAGTTTTGTTGAAAAACTCATGTTTTGTTGATTTTCTAAGTGAAAATAAGTTAACAAATCATCTATAAAGAGTCACATTTTATCTGCAGAACTTACACACTGAGTTTAACATATATGCATAATGCTGCTGTTGGAACAAAACCGTTTTTACATTAGTTAAAACTGCCTGTTGCTCTTTACATTATGTGTAAATTTTATGATGAATGGATGGAAGAAATGGCCAAAAAAAAGTCTGGTTCCTTTGACTTACACTAAGAGTAAAGTATGTTTTTTGCTTCTCCTATAAAGAAGAAGATATGAGTTTTTTTGCGATATATAAAATGTTAAAATAAAATTTAAAATGTGCCATAACTTTTGCACAGCCACATTTTATCTTTTACTTGTATTTCAATATGTTTAATTCAGCAGATAAACAGGAATTGTAAACAGTAAATGTGTGTTCACTGTAGAAGCTGTTAACACATTAAAATCTCAGGCTTATTATCTACTAAGGCTTATTATTCAGTACCTACACTCTGGTCTTCAGAGTGGACGTTAATTTATACAATTTTCCCAAGTATCAACTTGTAGTAACAGGATTACTAAAAATGAAATCCTTAAAATGTTAGAACAGTAAACTTGAGCGCTTATTATTATTATTATTATTATTATTATTATTATTATTATGCAGTAGCAACAGATCACATTGTTGAAGTTGCAGTAAAAAGAATCAGATAATGTCCAGTCTGGTTGAATCCCTTAAAATTCCAGGCTTATTAGTCAAAGTCAAGTCAAAGTTTATTTATATAGTGCTTTTTACAGCAGGTGTTGTCACAAAGCAGCGTTACAGAAAAATCCAGGTCTGAGCCCCCATGAGCGTCACCAATGCTGACAGTGGCAAGAAAAACTCGCTAAGAGCAAGGAACCTTGAGAGGAACCAAGACTCGAAAGGGGAACCCATCCTCCTCTGGTTGACTCCAGACAGCAAACATTAACAGCAGAGAATGAGATTTGATCATTAGCATAACATACGGAAAATTGAGAAAAGCAGGAGCAGCAATGACCATGATTGATTATCATCAGGACGGTCAGTGGCGTGCAGGTGAGGTATTAAGATACATACTAAGGCTACTAAACCAACTAAAGTTTTGCACAGCTGTAAACATGCCTAATGTCAGAGCTGTGTGAAGACAAGACCCACTGCTCCACTCAGACAGTAAATCACTGTACAGTACTGTGTAAAATCAGAGACCCCCTTTATTTATTTAATCTCCAGTCCAAACAACTGTTAAACACAAGTTCTTGATTTTTCAGTGTCAGCAACAAAAAATTGCACAAAAGCCTCAACAACTGATTAGAATATCGTAGTGAGCTGCTACTGGCTGGCGCTGGCTACAGATGCTCAACAGGTGCTCCTGGTAGGTGCGCATCCTCTTAAAAGGGACTGTTTATGTTGTTTAAATGTTGTTTGATAGCTTAAGTTGTGTTTATATGCTCATTGTGTTGGTCTGGGTTGGGAAGTGGGGTTGTTGTGTGAGGTTTTGCGTTGGGGTTGGTCACTGACAGGGTGAAGCCTGTGGCCTGAGGCTGGTGGTGACCTCCTCCGTGAGTTTGTGTGGTGTTATGTGTCAATAAAGAGCACTTATTAACAGCAGATCATGTCACTCCTGTGTCTTACTGTCTGCCAATCTCACAATATTTAACATCCAGGCAGCCTGCTAGGCCACCTCCAGTCTCTAGGAGGGGCCAGAGAGCCAGAACTGAGTAACTAGGGCTGAGCGGTAGCAGCTGTGGGTGCCCTATTAAAGGGGTCTTCACACACTGCTCAGTGCTCAGTCTTGAGTTCTCTCTGACACACACAGGATGCTCTGACTCAGCCGGTAACTTTGGTATCTATCTCAAGTTTTGAGCCCTTTGCTTTTCCTCTAGCTTATTCTCAGCGTAAGTATAAAAAAAGAAAGAAAAGGACAAAGATAAAAATCTCTTGAGTGTTCTCTCGCCCTCTGTGTTTAGAGAGAAGTGAGGGAGAGATTAAAGAAGGGAGTGTTCTGAGTTCAGTTTTGGGGAGTTCCCAGTTTAGTTCATCCCTTTTAAGCCTTTGAGTTAGTCATGATCCCTTTGGTGGCATGTCAGGTGGTTCGTTCCTTCGCGCTCCCAACTTCAAACATTAGGTTCGTGAGTTGGATTCTCACTGAGGGCGAAACCCCCCGGCGCGTAATACAGTGTATATACACTGCAGTGCTTAGTGTGTCACTCTTTACCTGTATTACTGATTCTTTTCAACAGGTTCCACAGTTCAGTCTTAGAAGCTGGTTGATGATTTTCTGAAGTAATTAAACACATTCAGTGGTGTTGAGGTCTGGACTCTGGGGTGGTCAGTCCATCGTTCAGCTTCTTTGTTTGATGTGTCCGTCTCCTTTTCTCAGTGAGGTTCTTCTTGACAGCTACACATCCTTTCAGACCCACAGCGCTGAGTCGTCTTCTCACAGTGGAAGGATGGACAGAAACACCTGTGGATGTTTTCAGATCTGAAGCAGCTTGATTTTCTCCTCTCTCTCAGAGATGAAAGCTTTAAGTGCTGTTTATCTGATGGGGGCAGTTTTGGTGTCTATCAGGTCTTCCAGGTGGTTGTTAGGAGTCACATTTTCTCTGTAGCTATTAATCAGTTTGTGAACTCCAGTTTTGGAAACTTCACTTATTTTCTTTTGTCGTTTTCCTTCCTGTTTTTCTGCTCTGTCTGGAAATTAAACAAATGAAGGGCGGTCTTTTGCAGAGTACTGAATGAACTTAAAAGGACACTCCAGCCAAAATGAAAACTGTAACCATCACTACATCTGTTGTAAACATGCTTACTCTCCTCCTAGAGCGGTGCTGCAGGATCTCTGGTGTGAGATTTTCCAGTTTAAAGACTGCAGCCTCCTTCTGATGATGTGTCTTGAAGGTGGGAGGAGTGTTTGAAAAACTACACCTGCTTTGGGGTGGATATTTGAAGGCTGTATTTTATTTGTTTGTTTGTTAGCTGGTGAATCCAGAAAGAAGGCAGATACATTACAAAAAATAGTATCTTGTCAGGTGAAATGATCTTGAATCTAGTCGATATATCTAACATTTCCCATTTTGAGATGGTTGTGCTCTTATCATAAGATTATCTAGCTTATTCCTAGACATTATTTACTTGTTTTAGGTAATTCTATTAAGTAAAATTGTCTCACTATACTGGCAGATCTTTTTGCAGATTTCAAGCTCTTTTCATAAAACAAGCAAATTATCTGCCAATATAGTGAGAAAATTACTTAATAAAATGACTTAAAACAAGTAAAAATGTCTAGAAATAAAGTAACTAATCTTAAATTAAGCTTATAACAACATCAACAGAAAAAAAACTTGATTTACTTGATCATTTTACTTGACAAGATACTATTTTTAGCAGTGTAGCTAACTTTATTACTAAGCTTGAATATCTTGCTGCAGCTGTAAAACTGTTGTAACTGGCTTAAAATCTTAACTACAGATGACAGAGCTGATTCCTTTTAGTGCTGGATCAAGTAAAAAGTTACCCTAATGCTAGCTTGGTTGTATTTATTAGCCTTTATTACACTGCTAGAACCTAAGGTTCTGTTCAGGTACATTTTTTGTTCATCAAGGTACAAACAGTGTAAATGTTCCCTCAAAGCTCCAACAGTGGTTTTAAGGTCTGATTGTGAACCTTAAATAAGTTTCTCCAGGTGAAAAGTTCGTATTTGTACCTTTTCATAACCGAATGTTTTAAACAGAACAGTAAAATAAAAGCCTGGAGACGAGACGGGGTGTGTGGAGTCAGTACAGCTTAGAACATATCATTCAGTGGATTATGGTTCAGTTATGTTCCCTGACTAAAGGTACTGAGATGGAGCCTTGAGGGTTCCACTCCAGTGATAAGAGGGGAACTGACCCAGCGATATCTTCGTACCTTTTTTTCTGAGAGTGTAGCTCAGTGGCTAGGCTAGCTTTCAGCATTCCTAATGGCTCTATGACGTATTTGTGTTAGCATGCTGGGTATTGTAGTCAGAGACTATTGACATGGAAATGATATATAAAATCATGAATTCTGTGGAATCGATGAGGCTGATGGACACAACGCTGCCAAACAGAATACTGAAATATTTTTGTAACCACATTTGTAACCGCCAAGGTTATTTTTTGTGTGATTTGGTACTAATACAAGACTCAAATGCCAAAATATTCAAGAAAAAACAAGTTTATTTTTTTCTCACAAAGCAAAAAGCTTCAGTCATAAAAAAAATGAAAGGGTAAGTTTTTGCGCCACTTTTTTAAAAATTGCAAAAATATAATTTAGTAAAAATAATCACTTAAAGTTCATTTGGTGAGAAAATTGGTGAATCTTTGGTACATTTTGCAAAAGTAGAACAAATTATATACAATATTTGGGGCAAAGGAAGAGAATTCTGAGAAACATTAAAATGTGGAACACTGTGGTAAATAAATAAGCGCGTTTGTCTTAAAGGGAGCCCTTAAATATAAAATACATCATCCCAGAAATCTTAACTCTCCTTCCCTGAGCGGTTATTGAGTTACGGATTGATTGCTCCTTTCAGCCAGCTCATCACGGCAGCCTTGTTCTGTGCAAGCCACTTGATGTTGGCGTTTGTCCTCTCGATGGACTGCTGGACGGCCAGGGTGCCGGAGCCGAAACCGACTTCACTGTTATCATCCCTGAACTGCTCCAGCTGGAACAACAAACGAGGGGAAGATCACACGGGTTAGCTTTAGCGCTCTGCAGCGTCTGTCAGCTGATCATGTTTGTCTCTGTCTCAATCTCAAATGGCTCCCTATGTAGTGCAGTATGTAGGTCATGAAATAACCAAATATCGCTTTACATTTCCAACAGAAAGCCAATTATATTCAGCCATAAGCTGCACGGCTCCGTATCTAACATTTTAGAGCACTGTTTTGGTGTAGAAGCTATAGTTTCCTGACCTATGCAGTGCACTGTACAGGGAGCAAGGAGCCATTTGGGATTCACTATCTGTACCAGTGGTCACCAACTGTCCTGCAGAGTGTAGTTCCAGCCTGCATCTAACATGCTGCTCCCCCTCTTACTTAACACTAATGCAGCTGATCCAGCCAATCAAGGACTTCTGATTAAGTCAAATAGGAATTTTAACAAGTTTTCAAATATTTCTGCATAATTAAATAGTTAAGATTTGAACAATATCATTCTGCTTGATTTGATATGAAATACGTTTGGCCTTGAACTCCATTCATGGTGGAGGGATACATAATATGCAAGGCATTATAAGGCAAAAAAGTCCCCAGAGAGAACTTATTATTTCAGATTTTCCACTATTTTCCATCATCAACATTCCATATAAACTCAGAAGACTCGTGTAGGTTCACTGGTGGTTTTAAATAGATATAGAAAGTAAATGTCTATATCTGTGTTGTAGTCATGGCGACCCCTGGTTCCTATCACCACCACTGTAAAGACATCTGAACCATTTCACACCAAACCACTCTGAATCACTCTGATTACACCTCACACACTGAATTATGCAAAAAAATGGAAAAATCTGGCAGATTGTGGTTGAAACTAAACTCTGCAGGAAGCTGGTTGGTGTCCTATAGTGATTCACGTTTAGTTGTGATATATAAGTTGTTACATAGTAAGAAGTGAACATACAGTACAGAACATACAGAACATACAGTTTAGAGTAACAGTTCAGACATCAAAACTATGAATTATCACATAGAGTTGATACTTTTTCAAAGAATGGTTCTTTAGAGAATTTTTCCCCTTTTGTAAATGAGTTTGAGAGCGAAGAGCCTTAAGGTTGAAGGTACTTCCACATAATATAAATGTTCTTGGAAGAACCATTGAATTGGTAAAGAAACCAAGTTATATGAAGGTTCTTAAGCCTTAAAAAGTTCTTCACACTTACAAATCTTCTTTCAAACATGGTTCTTTAGGGTGATTGTGAAAAATATAATTCTAATCTGGGTCCAAAATTTGACTGGTACAGTATGTAGTAAAGCTTTTCAATTATTTTGGGTCTGTGTTTTACTTTTCTTTTTCATTTCTTTGTCCTTGTTTGTGACCTCACTGCCGGTCATCGTAGAAGACAACATCTACTAACCTGCCAGCTACTTTATTTTTTCCAATATGTTAAACTCAACAAACACACAGAAATTGTACACAAACATTTGGAGGAAAATGCCACGTTTAAGTGTGTTCTCTGTAGAGGATGTGTTAACTGCAAAAAATGGTATCTTGGCAAGTGAAATTATCCTAAATGTAGTCAATATATCTAATATTCCAGATTTTGAGACGGTTGTTGAAATAGTGTGAGATTGTATATCTTATTCTAGACATTTTTACCTGTTTTAAGTAATATTATCAAGTAAAATGATCTCACTACGCTGGTAGATTTTTGATAATTTCAAGCAAATTTCTGAAAACTAGCAAAATTATCCACCAATATATGAGAATTTTTTGACTTAAAACAAGTAAAACATCTAAAAATAAGCTAAACAATCTTACAATAAGCTTACAACAATCTCAGCATGAAATATGTTAATAATATCGACTGTATTTAACAAATTCACTTTCCAAGACACTTTTTGTAGTGAACTTATTTTCACTTAGAAAAATCTTTAAAACATCATTTTAAAATTTTTGCATATGACTGTACCTGCCAGTATTGTGATAATTCCACTTAAAACAGGTACAGAATGTGTAGAAATAAGTTAAATAATCTTATAATAAGCTTATAAGCACCTCAAATGAGATTTATTAGATATATTGACCAGATTTAAGATAATTTCACTTGTCCGGATATAATTTGCACCGTTCAAAGACATAAATGCTGGGATTGCGTGAAGTTCATACCTGTTTGAGTTCAAACTCAGTGGAGAACCGCTTGGTGACGCCGTTGATCAGGTTGGAGAAAGAAAACGATCCGCCGCCGTACCTGCAGACGAATACAGGCATTAGAGCAGATGATATTAGAGCTCAGAAATAAATGGGACTGCATGTAAACAGAGTCGGACTCACTGTGTGAAGATGTAGGCCCAGTTAGCTCTGACGAAGTCCCACGCCAGAGGCTGCCCCACTACATTGCCGGCGATGGAGATGATGGTGGCAGTGGCGTCCTGCTTCCGGATAAGATTTGGATCCATTGTGAATTCCAGATAGCTGGAACAAAAACACACCACGATCAAATCACACGTACATCAGTGTAACATCCAATAAACACCAGAGAGGACTTTTATTTTATCTAATGTTTATTCAATGTTATAGTTGAGCTTTCCTCAGTGTGTCTCACAAGGTTAAAGTTAAGGTTAGAGGTTTAGGATTTGGGAAAGTTAAGGTGAATTTAATAGATTTTTAATTGGATTCACATGTTTAAAAGTTTGGGACCACTTGTCATAATAATATAACCCATAAATAACCCCAATATATTATATATAACATTTTCACTCAGTATTCAGTGACAGTGTAGATTGAAGTGTTTATAAACTTAAATCTAGTCTGTATTTAATAATATCTAATATTTCTCACTTTGAGATGTTATACGCTTATTATATGATTACTTTGTCCTTTTTTCTAGACGTTGTTTACTTGTTTTAAGCAGTTTTATTGAGTAAAATGATCTCACTACATTGGCAGATAATTTTGCTTGTTGTAAAAATATGTTTGAAAAAAGCAGAATTATCTGCCAACATAGAATTTTATTTGATAAAATGACTAGTAAAAACTGTCCAGACATAAGAAAATTAATCTTATACTATTATAACTATAACCATCTCAAAATTAGAAATGTACTAGAATTGACTACATTAAAGATTTTTACTTGACAAGATACCATTTTTATAGTGTAGTGACAATGTAAAGTATTTTGGGAAAAACAAGAAAAATTAAATATTAAGTAAGTAAATATTAAGTAAATATGATTTGCAATTCTCTAAATACTCTCTGTATTTATAGTAACATCTTCACACAAAAAGACTATGAATAGCTATTTGTTCGCCACTTCAGTTTGAGGTTTTCTGGATATTAATGTTTTTAATTCTTACAGTTTGTATAGTTTCCTGTATATTGATTAAAACCTATAAAACTCTGGCATCACATTAGAACCATTTTTATACATGTATCTGCAACAAAACTGGTTTCATAGTATTGAAAAAAGTGATTCCAAACTTTTAAACTGTAGTTTAAGCTAAAGATGAGGTGAGTGTCCACAAAACCTCCATCAAAATACAGTATGAGTGAAATTTCAGTGTGAATGTGCCGTCAGCTCACCGGTTCAGCAGCCACGGTGTGGTAGCGCAGGCCAGCGCAGCCCGCAGCTTATCAGCTTCAATGGCGATGGTGGCATTCTGGAACATCTCCCAGGCAAAGTCCCACTCTTTAGCGCCACCCGCAGCAATGGCACTGCAGTACACTGTGGCCCTCAGATTTGGTTCAATCCTGACAGAGAGAGCAGAGCTAATCAATAATCAATTCATATACATATAATCTGTAAATAATAAAAACAGTCAGCCTAATGAGAAACTGTAGAACAGACTCAGTTTATATCACAATACCTACATTTAGAGTCAGTTATTCATTCAACCTAATGAGAAACTGTAGAACAGACTCGGTTTATATCACAATACCTACATTTAGAGTCGGTTATTCATTCAGCCTAATGAGAAACTGTAGAACAGACTCGGTTTATATCACAATACCTACATTTAGAGTCAGTTATTCATTCAGCCTAATGAGAAACTGTAGAACAGACTCGGTTTATATCACAATGCCTATCTAGCTCAAGGAAACAATGTTAGTGGTGTAGGCTATGACACTAACATAGCTTGCTAGTAATTTTAATCCTTAAAAATCTCAATTATATAACATTGACTCCAGCCAGTCTGTCCTAACAAACACAGGAGACCTTCCAAGCACAGAATAAATGGAAATGCCAGCTGCCCTGCTAGAAAAACCAGCACATGTGTTTTGGATGCTGATATGCATGACCATGCTGAGGTGACCAGCTAAACCAGGTTCAGACCAGCATAGACCAGCAAAGACCACTTTAGGTCTGTCCTGTTTTTTTCCAGCAGGGTGTATGAGTCTAAGACTGGTTACATGGGCTCATTTAACCCTTTATGACAGTCTAACTGAAACTCACGGGTTGACGCTGGGGTTGTCCATCCACTGCTGAAACCAGCCCCTAACCAGAGCAGTGCACTCCTCCAGTCCGGTGCTACAGGCCATGCGGATGGCATTCACCTGGTTATACCTGCAGAGACAGAGACATTCCTGAGTGCACTGGAAGTTAATGTGAGAGTTCTGCTAAGAAAATAAAACTTAGTCAATCAACCAGGACATGTTTGGTGTCTGAGGTTCGCTTCTTTAGTTTTAGCACTGGAGCTACAAGGCTAATATAGCTAGCAAATAATGGAAGCTTATACCAATTAGCATGGTGCTCACATGCAAACCATGTGGAGTTGCTCAGTAGCACTAATAGACTTGATTGTGTGGTTTCTGACACTGTTATCTATAAACATGGACTTACATTAGCATTGCTAAAAACAGTAGCAGCCACTTGAAGTACTTTAGTCCATGTATAGATAACAGTGAGTCATACAGTGTCAATAAATAATCAAGACCATAAGAGATACTGAACAACTCCACATGCTTTGAGGCAGGCAGTTAGCGTCATGCTTATTGATCAGATATAAACTTCCATTGCCTTTTAGCTGCATTAGCCTTGTAGCTCCAGTGCTAAAACAAACAAAGAAACAAACTTCAGACAAACATGACTTTGGCTGATCAACTACATTTGGGGTAGTTTGGGACGGGGGGCTCCAAATGTTTCGCCAAACACAAAGCCATACTGACAGAAAATTAAAATGTGTTTCACTCTTAAGTTTTAAGACTTACTGGTCAGTGTGGCCTTCAGGGATGTTTGACCAGTTGCCGGTCAGGTCCTTGAAATAGTAGAAAAGTGGTCCCACCTGTTGCCCAATATAAGCCTAAAGGACAAAACACATCCTTTTAGAGCACACAGTTTTGACATGTTTTTAACACTGTGTGATAGACAGTGGTGTCAAAGCTGACCTGCAGGTAGCCATAAACCTCACTGCGGTCAAACATGAGGTAGTAATAATCCAAGTTGTCAAGCGCAGACTTCCAGGGCATGTATTCTCTTTCTACGGACAGATACTGCGTGGTCCTCAGAGCCAGTGTGGTCGAAATGATTTGTGCCCTGTCAACACCAAAGATGCATTTCAGACCCATCGATAAAGATATGATTGAATCTTTTTGCTGTTGAACTGCCTTTAAAATCTCACCTCGCAAGATTGAACGCATCATCGATGAGTTGGACCCGGTTAAGAAGTGGAATGCTCTGAAAGGCACAAGGGTTTTTGTAAATACAAACAATCTTTAATCCTAAATGTAGTCACAATTGAGCACCTATTCAGTCAGTGTCACCAGCATTCTCCACCAAACACCAACATTCTCCACCAAACACCAACATTCTCCACCAAACATCAGCATTCTCCACCAAACATCAACATTCTCCACCAAACACCAACATTCTCCACCAAACATCAACATTCTCCACCAAACACCAACATTCTCCACCAAACACCAGCATTCTCCACCAAAACACCAAAATTCTCCACCAAACACCAACATTCTCCACCAAAACCCATGTTCTCCATCAAACCTTATCATTCTCCACCAAACGCCATAATTTTCCACCAAACACCCATATTCTCCACTTAACATCAACATTCTACACCAAACAACCAAATTCTCCATCAAATACCAATATTCTCCACCAAACCTAATCATTCACCCTAAACACAGTGTTCTCTAGCAAAAGCCCACATTCTCCACCAAACACCACAATTTTGGAGCAAACAACAATATTCTACACCAAACACAAATTCTTTAACAAATGTAGCATTCTCTTTAAATACAACATTCTCCACCAAACCCCATCATTCTCCATCAAATGCCCACATTCTCCACCAAACACCATCATTCTCCATCAAATGCCCACATTCTCCACCAAACACCATCATTCTCCACCAAATGCCCACATTCTCCACCAAACACCAACGTTCTCCACCAGAACTTTCCAGCAAACACCCACATTCTTGCCTAAACCCCAACATTTTCTAAGAAACACTGTCATTATCACCAAACACCAACTCTCCCCACCAAAAACTACACTCTAATGAGTCATCATTCTAAAACATAAAGCTGACAAGCCAAATGGAGCAGGGTCCTAATTAACTTAGGCATCCAAAACATATTTATATCTTGTTTGTGTTTCATGTACAATTTCACACTGAGAATAATTCTGTTGTTTTAGGCAGTTGTATGTACCTCATGAGATGTCCGGAGTGTGGTCAGGAGTCGCTCCCAGTTGTCCATGTCGTAGTTCACTCTGTAGTATCCCGACACGTTGAGGTTGGCCACTATCCAGTCATTCCCAGTGACCTCAAATGCTGTATCAGTAGCTAAACATACAGATAGAGATTTAGGACGTTCCTTCATCTTAGCACTCAGTGGTAAACGTTGGATTCAACAAATGGAATCAGAAAAATCAGAATGAAAAACACATTATTACTTTGTGAAAATATAGAACTCTCCGGGTAAATAACAGTAAACATATAATAACATACTATGTACAAAGTGCAAATGTATCAACTGTATAAACCATATAAACTGTAAATGCCAAAAGGGGTTTAATCTCTGTGGCTTTGCATGTTTTTGGCTGTTTCTCTGTGATGATGGTTGTTAAAGCTCTGTTTCTTACCCTCTTTTGTCAGCAGCCAGAACAAAGACTGCTGCCCTGTGTTCTTGATCGACCGAATAGGCACAATCCACTCATAGCTAAAAAATAAATAGATGTTCTGTTAGAGTTTATAGATATTTGGAGGCTCTGCATGTTGGGTTTTGTATGATCACTACACTGTAAATGATACAACATACACTCCCTGGCCACTTTATCAGAAACCCTTCTTTTGTAGCTCCACTTTGCTGGTGTACGGTTAGAGACTGTAGCTCAGCTGTTGAATTACAGTTTGTGCTAGCCATCATCAACTGACAGATGATGAATAGAGTAAAAGGTAGGTGTTTCTAATAAAGTGGCCAGTGAGTGGAAGCACAAGGTTAGTGTTTCTAATAAAGTGGCCAGTTAGTAAAAGCACAAGGTAGGTGTTTCTAATAAAGTGGCCAGTGAGTGGAAGCACAGGCATGTGTTTCTAATAAAGTGGCCAGTGAGTGGAAGCACAAGGTTAGTGTTTCTAATAAAGTGGCCAGTTAGTAAAAGCACAAGGTAGGTGTTTCTAATAAAGTGGCCAGTGAGTGGAATCACAAGGTTAGTGTTTCTAATAAAGTGGCCAGTTAGTAAAAGCACAAAGTTGGTGTTTCTAATAAAGTGGCCAGTGAGTGGAAGCACAGGCATGTGTTTCTAATAAAGTGGCCAGTGAGTGTGCATACAGTTGTGACAGGCTGTGGTCAGTTAGACCTACCCGAACTGAGATGGTGTGGTCACTTCAGACTCAGCATCCAGGAGGAAGTGTTTCTGAGACAGATGGCCAGTAGCAGTGTCGATAGTGACCACCGGGAAACCCATCTGAAGAACCCAGCGGTCCATGATGGCGCTGATATTCGTGGGAAGGTCGGTGCCGGTTTCGTCTACAGCCTAAAGTAGTTTAAACCGCACACAATGAGTAATTTTTATTAAAAAACATTAGTATTAAAATATTATAGTGTATATAATAGCTTTATACATGCAGCTCATAATTCATCTGTGCTAATGTATTGTGCTGTGTTGATGACTGATAGCACTACTACTTGTTCTAAAGATGAACAGAGATAAAATAACTCACAATTTGGAGATGGTCCCAAAGGTCTGTGTACACTGTGTTGTCGAACTGGAAGTGGTTCAGGTAGCTCTGAGAGGAAAAAAGACAATAAATGAATTGCGTATAAAATAATCATTAGTTATGTTTTTATATGGTGCGGATAAAAGGTGAGTGTAGTGACTGAAAGAAAAATGGAACCTACACTGAGTCCTCGGGCAAAGACCGGTTCAGTCAGGAAGTCTGAGAGCATTCTCAACACAGACGCCCCCTGGAGGTAAAAATCACACACATTACTCCACATATAGAGAACAAGATGGGTTCCTTTCACACCTGGCATTAAAATACATCTGGGGTGATCCTATCATGATTAATGTGGCCAACCACACATCAGAGGAACTTAAACAAACACCCTAAACCCACATTTTTAACAGGTTATTTTATGATTCAAGACATCCTTAAATAAAGGCTACACAGTTTTTGATATTCTACAGCGACAGAAAGCTAAATAAGCTCTCAGCCATTGGCTGTATGTTTGAAGATCTATCAGCGTGATGTCAAAGTTCAATAAATTTGAATTTTTACCCTAGCAAGACGCCACATAGCTATGCAAATCTCCGCGCGCTGCAAAAAAACGGTACTTGGCAAGCAAAATGATCTTAAATCTAGTTTGTACATCTAATACTTCTCATTTTAAGATTGTTGTAACCTTAATTAAAGATTATTTCACTTATTTCAAAGCATTTTTACTTGCTTTATGTCATTTTGTCAAGTAAAAGTATCTCATATCTCAGATAATTTTCAAACGTTTTTTAAAACAAGCAAAATTATCTGCCAAAATAGCGAGATCATCTGACTTATTAAAATTCCCTAAATCAAGTAAAAATGTATAGAAATAAATAATCTTAAAATAGGGTTTCAACAATCTCAAAATGAGAAATATTAGATATATGAACTAGATTTAAGATCGTTTCACTTGCCAGGATACAATTCTTGGGCTATCTCTTTAGAATGACTTCATTCATTTTAACTGTTTTACTGTTATCATTTCAAATAGGTTATATATGTGATTTAGTGGTTGTTCTACTTTATTAGGCTATTCATTAATTTGCGGGATTTCTTTTCATGCGTGCTTCGTCCCGCTCCCGCCTGCAGTGGGCTGGTTTCCCTCCCGCTTCTGCACACAACACTGAAAATTGGTCCTGCAAGATATTGTGGCGGGTCCCGCGGGAATCTGCAGGAGTGCAGACCTCTACTCTACACTGATGCCACACGCATATGTTGTGTTTTGGATGCTGGTATGCTGGTCAACCAGCATGACCATCCCGGGCGACCAGCTAAACTAGCAACAGACCAGCATAAACCAGCTTAAACCAGCATGGAATGCATACTGGTCTGCTGTTTTTTCAGCAGGGTTGTAGCTCCAGAGTAAAACTAATGTTGCGAGCGCTCATCGGAAGGTTGTATATACCAGATGGTTAACTAGTAAATTCGATGCCCACCACTTGGTAAAAGAAAACATATCCAGCTTTATATGCTGCTTTTTCTGCTGCGATAAAAAGCACATAGATCTCATATATATCTGTATATTCACATTCAAGTTTTTCAGTTATGTAAAAGTTGAAAGGTTGTGTTGTATGTCACATCTCACAAATTCATCTAGTATAATCTGGAATCCTGAGTTTATCAGCAGTCACTACGACTTTGTTGGTCATCCGGGCACAACTTACAAGTGGGGAAATTGGTATTTCCCAGTTTCCAACACCACTCAAACTCAGCATAAGGAAGCTACCTTCCGCTTTAACTGTGTTGAACCCACCTTGCTGTAGGAGATGGCGTCAAACACCTCACTGATCTGCTCCGGTCTCATGACGTCCTCTTCCTTAGAGGAGAGAGGGTGGGAGGAGGCCAGAGCGTCTATGGCGAACACTCGGTGGACGTCCCCCAGCACGATCAGGTCTTTCTGTGGGAGAGCACAAATGGTTCAACCATCATACCACACCGAGCTGTATATGGCAAAGTTAAATTAAAAGAAGAATGGATGGAAGAGATGAGTGTCTGCTATCATACACTATATAATGACAAACATTAGCTTTAGCACTTAGCACTTAGTACTTACAATATTCCATGTGGGCTCAGCGCGGTCAGCTCCGAGATATTCAACATAAGAGGCAAAGCCTTCATTCAGCCACAGATCGTTCCACCACCTAATAGTCACCAGGTTACCAAACCACTGTAAGAGAGAGAGAACGTTCTTAATAAGTACAATAAAATGTCTCAATTTGACCACTAAAGGAAACTGAAGATATGAAAGTATAGAAATATGTGTATTTGTTAAAATGTATTTAAAATGTATATGCAGTATATGTGCAATACATGTGATGTTTTAAAATAAATGTTATAAATAAATATATTTAACAGTGATATTTTCAAATATTTACATATATTAAAATATATGCACATATGTAGATGGTATATACTCTCACTGTCGGAACAAAATGTGGTATCTCAAAAATGGTAACATTACAGGAGAAAGAAAAACATTCTTAAAACAATGAAAGTCAGTGTAAGGAACGTTTTTCAAGTAATTTTACTTCAGTTAATGCATTCATAGTGAGATTTTAACACAATGCAAAGAGTAACAGGAGCTTTGAAACTGGAAAAAATGTTTAAAAATGTCAAAAATAGAGATTTTTTTTGCATGAAAAAAGGTTTCTGTATGAAGCGATGATATGTAATAGTGTCAGTTTTTAATATTTACACATGTATAAAATACCATTACTGAATAATTAGTGATTAAATGTGTGATCGCATGTGAAAAAACGTGATCATGTGTAAACATGTGGCTTTTGCACACTTCACACGTGAAAAACGTGACTTTTCTGTCATATGGGCCGTACCATGTGAGCGAGCTCGTGAGCGATGATGGTGGTGATTCTCTCCTTATTCCCATTGGAGGACACCGCTGGGTCGTAGAGCAGAGCCGTCTCTCTGTAGGTGATCAGCCCCCAGTTCTCCATCGCTCCAGCGTTAAAGTCCGGCAGAGCGATCTGATCTGATTAGAGAGGCCAATGGATTTAGCACGCTAACTTACAGACACCAACTCAGAGGAAATGTTATGTACAGTAAAACCAAAGTTTACATAAAGATTATTACCAATTTTCCTCCTTAGTATAAATGTAGGCGACCAGCTAAAACGTTTGGTGTCTGAAATTTGCTTCTTTTTATCACTGGAGCTACGAGGCTAATGTAGCTAACAAGTAATAGAAGCTAAAAATCAAACAGTTAGCATTGTGCTCACTGCTGAAAAAAGACCATTAGAACCATTAGGATTAAAACCTGATGGTTTTGCTTTCCAAAGGAAGTTGGCTTAATGGTTACCATTATGAAACAATCAAGTGCATCTGGAATCAGTCCCAGAACAGCTGCTAAACTGTTGGAATCCTTTACACTGTGATGTCAGTCCATCAGGAAAACAATAAATACCATTAATGACTATTGGACACCACCAGGAACCGAAATTTTAATGGTTTAATAGTTTATGATTTTTTATGCCACATAATCGAGTCAATTAAAGAATTAGACAAGTTGCACTTTTATTTATTTTATAACTAAAAACTGAAAAAACATGTAGAACATGATTAAAAAAATGAGTACAGGTGTGTTTGAAAACTGCAGGGCTGAGCGGGGAGCCTGTCTGCGTTTACACTGACCTCTTCGATGGCCAGAGGTTCATGTATCTTCAATTTTGACTCATGCAACTTTAACAGCTCCACATGGTTTGAGGCAATGATCTAGGCGTGCAGTTAGTACCATGCTAATTGGTACATTCTTAGCTATTTAGCCTTGTAGCTCCAGTGCTAAAACCAAAGAAGCACACTTCAGAGGCCAAACGGCTCTTGGCTGATCAACTACATTTAGGTTACATGGGGAAAATTGTGCAATGTTGAATAAAGAAGGGTCCTTCTTGCGTCGTTGTTCCAGTTCTTGTCACTGTGTGGTTCTCACCTGATTTGGGGAGCGGGTATGAAGAATTGTAGTACTCCTCGAAGAATTTCAGGATTGGTCCAGTGATGTTGAGCGCATATTGTCCCTGACCAGCGTTGATGGCATCTTTACGGGCGAAGACACGGATCTGCAGTTGGAGAGAAGGACAGGCTTTATTAATGTAGGTATTTACAGCCTATCATACATCAAACACAGCCCAAAGTGCCCTATGGTGTACGTAAATAAAGCAGTGAAGTGGCGTCTGGAAAAAAAAAACTTAACGAATATGTAGACGCGGAATTTTCACAGAGAGATAATTACCATAACATCATCTGCTGTTGCATCAGTGGATATAAATTCACTGACGATAAACGCCAGCAAGTATGTTGACATTCTCTTGGTTTGTTCGAATGTTGTTTTCTTCAGAAGAGTGCCGTTTACCATGATCTCAACAGTCTCTGAAATGGAGAAAAAGGTGTCAGAAGGTGACAAAAAGAAATAGCTCATACACTCGGCCCAGTTATGTACCAAAAACAGTCATAATTTTCATTTAGATTTCATTTTACTTGTTTAAAGTAGTTTTATCCAATGAAAGTGTCTTAGAAATGGTAAGAAATGATACATGAAACAAGTAAAACTATGTGCCATTGGAATAAGACAATTTCATAAGATAAAACTGCTTTAAAAACATTTTTTTCTTGTATTTTATTTTTCAAATAACAACATCTTAATTCATTTTTACATGACCATTTTCAAACCTCTCTTTATCCCTTAAAAGTAAACAGGCTGTTTTTGATACAATGCCTTTAAGACTGATATATGTAAATGAGCTCTGTTTTTATTGGCTGCCCTATACTGTCCATCACATGAGTCCTTTAGATGCACATAAAAGGCTGCATTAGAAAGCTTTGCCTTTCCTGTGTCAGCACCGTTTGTCACTGTACAGCCCATCAGGAGTTATTACTATAGTAACTGCACTGTTATAAGCTGTAATAATACTGCATGTTATGAAACGTGAGTGATCACCGATGTCTCTGCCGTTGGAGAGGGCCGTGGTTTCCGGATCGTGCAGCAGAGTGATGTTGAAGTAAGCTTTCATGGCTGGTTCATCGAAACAGGGGAAGGCCTTTCTGGCATAGGTCGCCTGCATCTGAGTCGTGGCCAACACTCTGAACGAATGAAGTCAAATCAGAATTTAATTTTGGGATCCTGCAGACTCTCTTTAACAGCTCAGCAGTACACTTAACACTGTTCAGTCTGATTGATACTTTAAGATTGATCCTAATGTTATGAGAACCGCTTGTAAACTCTGCTTTGACCTGACGCCATGGCTCTGAAAACTGCACACCATTTCTATATCACACAAAAAAAACATATACAGTAGTGTGCAAAAGTGCCCCAGGTCAAATTAAAATGTTGTTGTTGATTTTCTTAGTGAAAATAAGTTTCCACACCCTCTACAGGGAACTTAAATATGACAAACGTCTGCAAATTTTAGTGCGCACTTTCTAGTTTTACATATTGGAATAACAAATAAAACATACAAAATAAAATGTCCCACAACTTGTGCACAGGCCACATTTTATCATTTTTTATTTTTTATAATTTGACCGGGGGTGCCCAAACATTTGCATAGAACTGTATATACTTATACTATCTAAAATGGTAAGTTTACAGGAGGTTTTAGGATTTTATTGCACTATTCACTATAAAATTTTTCATAAAGGACAACTGTTGAAAAAATCGAGATACAAGGTACAAGAACCTTTCAGTGGATGGTTCTTTAAGGCAGGGGTTCTCAAATTGGTCCTCAGGGACCCCCAGCTGGCCCACATTTTTGCTTTAAGGGAACACTACTGTATGTGTGAGTGAAGACCCTTAAAGAACCTCAACATAATGTGAAGGTTCTTCACCGCTGAAAGGTTTAAACTTGTACGCCGGAGCTAGTGACCATTTAGGAACTCTTAATATTTAAGAGCTAATATTGAACAGCTGTAAAACTTACTTCTCCTGTCCGTTCTCCTGGTATACGCTCCTGTAAAATCCTCCCAGGTCATCAGCGAGCTCCCCCAGGAACTCAGTGAAGAGCTTGTAGGATTCTCCCACCCTCAAGTTGCCGTTTAGCTGAATAACAAGATACTGAGTGGTCACCTGCATCCAGCGGTCCTTTATGGTCGGTGCAGGTGTGCTGCCGAGCGCGGTCAGAGTGGGGGCTGTGGTCAGGTTCAGCTTGTTGGAGTGAATGAGGATCAGGTCAGTTTCCTTCACGCACCTGAAGACCACACTGGAGTTTCCAGTGAAGATGTAGATGCCGCGCTCGTCAGGTTTGAGTCGTGGCCACAGCGTGACATCGTAGGTGTCTGGAAGAAGAGTGTCAGGGAGACGGTAGCTGTCCCATGGCTCAGTGGATGGTGCGGTTGTTGGTGCAGCTGTTGTGTTTGTGTTTGTGGTTGTGGTTGTTGTTGTCGTCGTGGTCGTTCCTTCAGTTGGTTTCACCTCATTGTTTTTGGCTTTCTCCTGAGAGTAGACCACAGACAGAGCGATGATGGTGGCCACCGCTGCCGCCCCCACCACGATTCCGACCACCCCAACAGTCTTGCTGATGTAGAAACCTTTCCCCATGCTGAAGACTGACTGGACAGGAACAGCGTGAGCAGCTGGAGAAGGTATCTGCCCAGCTTCTTATTCAGGCCCAGTGCTGATTCTCCACCCACCAGCTTTAATAACTCATCCATTAGCACAGACTGACCCCAGTTCCAGAGGGCAGCTGGCGCTCTCTCACCCACTCTGTAGGACGGAGTGGAGGAGCTACAGCTAAAGTTTGTAGACGCCTATTTCTTCTGAAATGAAGGGTATTAATAGTGAGTTTGTTCTCCTTCGCTGCAGTAACAGCCTCTGCTCTTCTGCAAAGGCTTTACACCAGATGTTAGAACATTGCTGTGAAGATTTGATTGACCATTAGTGAGATCGGGTACTGATGCTGGATGGTCAGTTCTGGATCACTCCAACTCATCCCAAAGGTGTTGGACACTGTAAAAAACAGCTCCACTGCTCCACAGCCCAATGGCATCGGGCATGGTGACTTTAGGCTCATGTGCGGCTGCTCAAGCGCTTCTCACTCTATTGGTCAATGCATTTCTGTGGAGATCATACAAGCTGAATTCATTCAGTGTTTGTCTATTTAAGCTCAGCAAGCCCTGCAGCTGACGCTTTGACTGGTGGTGCATTAGAGCTTGCCTGCTATTGCTAGACCTTAGCGAGAGATCAGCTTACAGTGCATTGATCAGGTCACTCCAGAGGCATTTTGGACAGTGTTTCTGGCCCTTTGGTCTGTACTGTGTACTGGCAGGGGATCTATTATGAGCCTTTTAGCTAGACAGGCTTCTGTACAGAGTGAGCTAGCCCAAGATCAGTTCATCAGAGCACTGTCTCCAAGCTGCGTGTCCACAGGCCTAAGGCCCTGGAGTAGGCACTGGGAAGAGAGAGAGCGCTGTCAGCAGCTTCACAGTGCACTCATATTACCAGTCCTGCAGTCGGAGCTGTAGAGGAGTTATTTGAGTCACCGGAGCCAGTGTGGGTGAAGGAGCTGACAGAACTGATCTGTGGGCTGGCTTCAACCACAGCCATACAGGCAGCGGCACAGGGCCACCAGCGCTGGGACGTGTGGCCAGCCAGGACATCTGGCTAGAGCTTGTCCACTGGGGGTCACAGTGAGCTGGACACTGCAGGTCACAGCATCCTTGTTCGCATGTCCAGAATAAATGCTGCCCTAACCAAGAAGAACAGCACTGGAGGTGGACAAACAGTGGCTGTGGTGGGGCGAACGTCCATATCAGACTTCTGCCACATTTCCATCAACATTGAAGGGGTTCCATGCACTGCCCTGCTGGACACAGTGTCAACAGTCACAGTGGCCCCGCCAGAAGTAATACCTGCAGAATTCGAGCTGGAAGACATGGCAGTCCATCTCCACACAGTGACCGGTGAGCTAACACTGATGAGGGGGAGGGGATGTCTGACAGTTGAGCCACTTAGTCTGGATAGCTGAGGTTCAACACAAGCATTCTGGACTTTGTGAGAAACAACAGGTGCCAAATGGACCTAGAGGGCAGCATGGCTTTTCGTGGGTGAAGTGGCTGGTGCTGGATGAGCTGAACAAGCAGCACCAGTGTCAGTGGACGGATCCCCGAGGGGCATGGGTGGTGCACATGAGCAGCACCCTCATCAGCATCAATGATGTAGGGGGCATCAGAGGAAGCGGAGGGTGGCTGAGTGGAGTGCCGCTGCTGTTGTCGCCCCCAGTGGCACTGGCGAGATAAGTGCATTGCTATGAGAAGCGTTCCGCAAAGAAAGGACCACCACAGCAGCCTCATCTTCCGCTTCAGTATCTCTCCTCCAGCGCACCAATGGAGAGGATGCCACAGAGCTGGTGTCTTGCTGCCTGCCACAACCAGAGGAGGGCGACACAACTGGAGTGGGGTATGGCAACGAGCCACGGTGCCAAAGACATGGCCGGAGAGAATGGTTCTGCTTCCAGTATTATTAAACAAGAAGAATCTCACAGGAAACATGTCAAATCTTTATTATGGATGTCAAATATGTTTTCATACAGCTGGACAAAAAAAAAGAAAAAACAAGAATTTTGGGTAATTTTATTTTGATGGTCCTCTTTAGGCTAGATAAACCACAAATACTAAATTCATGAAGGGGGAGTCACACAATTTTTTTTCAAAATTTCTGCATAATTAAACGGTTAAGAGGTAAACAGAGTCGTTCAGAGTGGTTTGGTGTGAAACGCTCCGTTCTAGTCTGAATTGTTCACAGTGGTGGTGATAGGAACCAGACGTCCACCTCTAAAAGCTCCCTCACAGAAAGTTGTTACATGAAATGAGACGTTGTTTTACAATAGTTTTGAGAAGGTTTTGGCCTAAAACATGTATTTTTAAAAATCCATTCATGGTGGAGGGATACATGCAGGGTGCTATGAGGCAAAATAGTCCCTAAAGAAAACTTATTATTTCAGATTTTCCACTATTTTCCCATCATCAACATTCCATATAAACTCAGAAGACTCGTGTAGGTTCACTGGTGGTTTTGGACAGTAAATAAAATGTCTATATCTGTGTTGTAGTCATGGCGACCCCTGGTTCCTATCACCACCACTGTAAAGACATCTGAACCATTTCACACCAAACCACTCTGAATCACTCTGTTTACATCTCACACACTGAGTTATGGAGAAAATTTGAAAAATGGGTGGAATTCTGCTTTAATAGACTAATCTGTTTTACAGTGGTAGCTGTGTTTGAATTTGTCTGTGCGTCTTTAACAGAAAAGGCCAGCAGCACATGGTTCAGTGTCCTCTGAATGGATATCAGCTGATCAATTATCAGCTTTTACAGTGACTCAGTATCAGCCCAAATAAACGCAGCCCATAAAACCTCCACAGCTATTGTAGCCTTATCTAACGGCTTTGGTCTTATCTAGTATTACATAGCTGAGATACAGACATCAGCGCACTGGAAAAGGAGAGTTGTGACGTCAGATTGAAATTATATTTCCAGGTAATCATTAGTATTTGGTTGGACTTTTCTTCTTCTTGTTCTTATAATCAGGTTAATGACTCACACATTAACTTCTCTCCCATGATCATTGATCATTAATGTCATCATTTTGTCATTTATGTATTTATAAAATTATACATCGTTAATTAATGATGAGCAGTATAAATGATGAACAGCAGTGTCCTTGTTTGATCTGCTTTTTCTCTTAGGTTTTTGTTGAATACTCTAAATGGCTCAGAGACATTAGTACTCAAATATGAGCCTGAATACATCCATTTAGAACTGTTCTGCTTTTTTAACTGTGTTTTATACACTTAGAACTTAAACACAGTTCTGAAAAAGGCCGGAACATCTCGTTCCAGTACCCTCAGATCCAGGAACAGCTGGTAAATGTACTATTTTCAGTCATTACTCTAACACTTTTACTGTTTTCCTGATTAGCCTTAAAGGACCCACATTCTACATTTTTCTTGTATTTTATTTTTGAAGTGACGTCCTCTATAAACATTTCTGTAGTTTTATGTAATAAAAACAGTCATAATTCATTTCTACACTCTTAAAAAGATGGTGCTTCAAGGGTTCTTTAGTAAAGAAAATGCTTCTATATAGAACCATGAACGCTCAAAGAACAATTCACATGTTTAAATGGTTCTTCAGATTGATGGAGAATGCGCTGTAGATGGTTCAATATAGAATTTTTATGAAAATGGTTCTATATAGCACCCAAAACGGTTCTTTTATTGTTATGGCGTCAAGCTTGCAACAATATAAGAGCCCTTTTGGGTGCTATATAGAACCATTTTCTAAAAGATTCTATATAGAATCAGCTTCAGCACATTCACGTACATTTTCCATCAATTTGAAGAACTCTTTCATGATGCTAAGAACCCTTTCATCATGCAAAGGGTTCTTTGAGTGTTCATGGCTCCATATAGAACCATTTTCTTGAAGCACCTTTTTAGGAGTGTACATGACCGTTTTCCAACCTCTCTGCGTCCCTTACATTCTTAAAAAAATGGTCCTTTCAGGGTTCTTTAATAAAGGGTGTTGTATGGTTCTATATAGCACCCAAAAGGGCTCTTATATTGTTGCAAGCTTGACGCCGTAACAATAGAAGAACCATTTTGGGTGCTATATAGAACCATTTTCATAAAAATTCTATATTGAACCATCTACAGCGCATTCTCCATCAATCTGAAGAACCATTTAAACATGCGAATTGTTCTTTGAGCGTTCATGGTTCTATATAGAAGCATTTTCTTTACTAAAGAACCCTTGAAGTACCATCTTTTTAAGAGTGTAGAAATGAATTATGACTGTTTTTGTTACATAAAACTACAGAAATGTTTATAGAGGACATTCTTCATTCAAGCTTGACATCAAAACAACAGCAGAACTCCTTTTGGTTCTATATAGAACCAGAACACATTCTCCATCAATCTGAAGAACGATTCAACCATGCAAATAACCATTTAAGCATTTTTAGTGTGATGGATGAATAGGTGAATATCTGTAAAAGTGTAGGTTTTTGTGATTTTCACAAATACAGTGAATTCAAAACGGGCTGTTTTTCGCAGCTTAGTTTCCACATATGGGCTGTATGTAACCTGCTGGGGAGTAAACATCACATTTTGAACATTAACAGTGTTTACACGATAAACCAAGCTCTGATTTTTTAAGAAAACTTGTGCTGACCAGTGTAGTGTAATCAAACCACAGTCATCTTACTGTAACCTGAATTTATTCCTAATAAAGCATTCAGACTAGCTGTTTTCATTACAGTAAGACATTTCTTAAACCTCTACTTCCAAAGTCTTGCTACCTGGCTGGTTTACAAATATTAGCAAAATAGCCACCATCTCTGCTAGAAAAACCAGCGCAGACCAGCATCGCTAGTCACCAGCAAAACCAGCATATCGCTGTTGTCGGAAGAAAACCTCGTATCTCCAAAATGGTAACTTTACAGGAGAAGGAAAAACCATACTTTACTTTTAATGTAAGTCAATGGAACCAGAATTTTTTCCAAGTCATTTTAGGTCATTTCTTTTGGTCCATTCATCATGAAATTGACACACAATGTAAAGAACAACAGGCATTTTCAAATTATGTCAAAAACTG